CTTTATAGAGTTGAAGGCTTGAGGCTCTGAGGGTTTAAGGCTTTAGGATTTAGGGTTTCGGTGCTTTAAGGCTTTGGCTCCACACTTCGCAGCCAAAACCCCAAGACGCAATGCAGGCCAGGCGGACTTCATCACATGCACCAGCGAAGGCTGCGCCTGCTTGCGGAGATCTTGGCAGAGGGGTGCGGGGTCCAAGCCGAACACAAGGGACGGTCAGGAACATCATGACGATGACGACCAGGACGAGAGTGATGACGATGAGTCAATTGAGCTGCCTTACGACAATCTGGCTCTCTCTCTCTCTCTCTCTCTCTCTCTCTCTCTCTTGCTCGTTTTCTCATGCTCTGAAGGCTCTAAACCTCTTTCTGACAACGGTCGGAGTAACCCTTGTTATACCCCCTTCAACTTCCGGGACTCCGACGGTGCAAGGCTCCCAACTCGGCCACGGGCCCTAAGCCAAAGCAAGACAAAGCGGAAAGCCCAACGAACTTGCCGTTGGTTAGTAGGGAATGGAGGAATGGGGTACAATTATAACTACTATTACTACCATTCTTCCATTCCTTATTAACCAGCGGTAAGCGAAGGGATCTTCAGCGCGAAAACCGGGGAAGCGATGGAACACCCCAAATTAACTTTACCCTGTAAATCCTAAACCCCTAAACCCCAAAACCCCTAAACCCTGCAAACCCTTAAACCCGTAAACCCTAAACTCCTTTTGAACCCAAAATCGAGCCTCAAGGCAAGCCATGTACTCCGACTCTGCCTTGTACCTGGTTCGCGCCACCGTGGCTTCGGGTCATTTGGGGCTTAGAGGTTTAAGGGCTTATGGGTTTAGGGGTTTATAAACCCCCAAACCTAGCGTTCTATGTAGGGTTTAAGTTTAAGGATTTCTGGCTTTCGGCTTTAAGGGTTTGGGGTTAACGGTTTAAGGGAAGTGCCAGAGACGGCTTCGCAAAGGCAGGGGGCTCTTGGGTCGCAGGCCATCCGATGCCCGTCGGATTGATACAGGGGCCTTAATACTTAGATGAGGGCCTTAAACTGCGGGTATATTATTGCTAACGTTAGTCTCAAAACACCATAATGTACAAGGCTTAAGGATATTACGGTACAGTTACAAGTTGAATCAGGAAACCTAAGGAATAGGATTACTAACTATTTAGGCATATATAGTGTGGAAAATGCGGTGACTGAGACCAGGACATCTCTGCTTGAATGGTCTTCAACTGAGCACCTTGGAAGCGAAGTTCTATCTCTAGGAGCCTAAACCCTGAACATTTGGGGTTTAGAAGGTTTAGGGCTTACCCGAAACCCGTTTGGGGTTAAGCATTTAGGGCTCGGGGGGTTTACAAGGTTTAAGGTTTACCCTAGACCTTTAGGGTTTAGGGTTTCGGGTTCATGGGCCAAGCTCTGCCCTTTCAAGTTCCTATACAAAGGCCGCACGATTTGTTCGTACAAGGCTTGGGGGCAACTTGGGGTAAGTTGTAGTATACCTTATGATACGCGGACTGTTAGGGGGATCTTCTCATTACATATTCAGACCCCTTTTAGCCTATGCTTGCCTTGGCTTCCTTCACAAAACCACCGACCTGACCCCATGCGAACAGGGCCCAAACTCTTCTGTGCGATTTCGCCCAGGATGGCTGTCTGACGCTGCTGAAGCTGCTGCGCCTTCTGTGCGCGGAAACGGGGACCATCGAAGACTTACTAGCATGAAAGACGTCACATTGATGACGAGGGCTTCTGACCAAGCAATGCTCCACACAAATGACACAAATGCCTTCCGTCGCTGTACATCACAATCACATAGGGTCACGAGCAGCTTGCGTCAGAAACTCTTGCAGGGCTACGCGTGCGAAGTGGCCCTAAACTCACGGACCTTACCTTACACTCCGTCGCTCCTGAATAAAACTCTTGCGTGCATCCATGGTACCTTGCCGTTTAATCCGCAAACTGTTCACCCAGAACACCTCGAAACAGAACCTCGGACATCGGAGCGGTCGATTCCCAGGGCGAGCATAGCATCTCGTAACGATAAGGGTCTCTCAATGGGAGGGACTGTGGGTACCAACCCTGAACCCCAAACTGGATATTCAGACTTCTATACTATGATCAAGAATCGGGCATTCAATTTCAGCCCAGCTCTCCTTGGCCGTTGCTTCATTGAGCTCTGCCTGCATGTCGTTGACTTCTTTCCTTTGACAGCGTGGCGCCAAACAAAGCCCTCAAAGCTGACAAGTGCCCGGGGAACTGGAGATTCGTCCTTAAACCAGTCCGTTGTGGGCTGAGCGGACTGACTATCTGCAGCTCTGATCATCGGGCACCATGAGTCCCATGCCAGAAACACACAGGCCTTTGATGTTCCAGCCACAGGCAATTGAGGGTTGTGGGCCGTGTGCGCATGTGAAAAGCTTGGATGCTGGCTGGACCGCCTCACGCCTGCCAGGGTGCAAAGACCAGGGGTTATGGAGCTCGCATTGTCAACATGTTTTGCCGATGCCGAAACATAAGTGCTGATTGTGCAAGACTTGTTGCTAGCGTTATGATAGTATGACAAGCAAGGTATTGCTGCCGGCATGTGTTTTTGCTCACCGTCGTGACCGAACATCTGTTGATAAAGCAAACCTCTTAACAGCAGACGACAGATCAGACGGATCCCGCAACCCTGCGGCTCAATATGAAGCAGCTGCAAGTAAATCTCGGGTCAAGGGCTTTGCGGAGATCTCGGCCACAGCTTGCTGCAATGCTCGTGCCTGACGGTCAGCATGAGAAACCGCAAACCGTCTCTCAGAAGCGCTTCTAAAACCGAAAGATGTTGCTAGAATGTCGTAGCTGTAGCCGCCAACCTATCTGAAGTGCGTTGCAGTTTGACTACATCAGCATGGCGACATCGAGCCATCCCTCTTCTAGAAACTCTTGAACTCCACGAAGCCCGACGGAACGGAGGTTGCAAGAATAAGGTGGACAACGACACGCTCGACCTGCGCAAACCTCGACTTTCGGCAAAGTGGTGTCGCTGGTCAGTTGGCTTTCATCACAGAGCATGGGAAGGTCGAGCTTAGAGAATCAGCTCTGTCGGGCAGCTCTTTTCCTAGCATCCGAGTTTGGGGTGACAGAGAGCCCGCAGCTCAGGATTTTCGGAGGTGTGAGCTCTCCTCACCAGGAGGTTTCGGGTGTTCAGATTTTTTTACCTAGTTTAACAGTCCTGGTTGGAACTCTTTGAACCGGGCAGATTCTCCTGTATGTCGCCTTTTGACATCTCCACGCGACCGAATTCGCGAAGATCGCCCGAGTCGGGGCCAGGGTTCACCCATGGCACCGCTTCAAAGCGGCTGGGGCGGCTGGGAAGGCCCTGACATGAATAGGCTCCCCAACCGGACGCTGAATGTGGTGTTGGCGGAGCGATAAGGAACTGCGAAAAACACAATAAAGTCCTGAAGCAAGCATAGGATTCATGCCGTTATCACACCCCCAACACAGTATCAGATCCTTTCAAAGCATTGGAAGATAGGGACCGTAATATCTGGGATCGGATGTTCGGGAAGCTTGTACGAATTGTACGACAGGTTCTCCTCGGAATTTTACGGAATATCGTCATACAGATTCTTTTTCAGGACCCTTATACCACATAAGGCCCCTCCACGGCCTAAACGCAAAGCCCCTACACCCTAAGCCAAACCCTAAACCCTCAAACCCAAAAGCCCCTCCATGGCCTCTTGGATCTGTCTCTCCTTCTGATCCGCCATGGCTTGTAACCCGGGGCTACGGAATCCGTCCGAGTGCTCTTCTCCAAAGCACCTGAAGCATGACAATATATGATCTGTCTTATTAACTCGGATATCACAGGCAGTACCAAACTAGAGTTAGCCAGAGCAGGATTATGGTCGCATCTTCGGTTCTTGCCGGAACACTCTGAGGAGGTAGTCTTGATCGCGGTGCTTCACGTCCAAGTCGTAATGGAAAGCTAGCATCTGGCAGTATGTAGCATCGGACTGATGCATGGAGAGATAGTCGCTGCACGTCTGCATTTCTGTGAGCCCAGATGCCGCCGCAAGCAAAAGTGCAAAACCCTCAACGCGACTGGAGTTCGGCTTTGAATGCCTGCCGGGTTGCAGGAAGTTGTCAGAAGGTCGTGGCTTTGTGGGCCGGCGTTCGTGGGTTTCGGGGAGTAGAATATGGCAGAATAACGGTCCAGTATACGACATCACAGCAGAGTATGACCCATTTTGGCCTTTTCTTAATATCTATATTCATATGTAAGGGACTTGCACGGGCATGTATGCGATGTCGAATGTATCGAGGCACCTCCTGCTGTGCTGCCCCCTCGGAGAGCTCATATCTTTTTGTTCCGTGACGCCTTCCAGGCCACATCTCAGTGCGACGAAGCCTTCAGCTTCCGCACGCTAGCGCTGGACCCAGGCTGGCCCAAGCCCCGAAGCTACCGGGGGCTTTGGGGGGGTCGACGCAGATTGATCTGGGAAATCTACGCACTCTGCGGAAATTTTATTGTTGCGACGGACAACCGGGGATTTGGGGTTTAGGGCAAGCTAGGTTATCGGGAGTCATGGCTCTAGGACAAATCTGGGATGCCTTCTGGAGGGGTCCAATACTGAAGGTACTGCAAATGGGGGTCAGTACTTTAGTTCCCTTCTGAAGCTCCCATCTACACTGATGGACACCGGGCTGCTCTGGGTCCATCTAGGCTTTTCCGCTTTTCTCAGCACCACAGCGGGGTGCCGAGAGTTTATCGCGGGCATCGAGCTTCGCTCGCGACGACAAAGGTTGCAAGTGCCCTGTACGCCCTACGCCTTCAACCTCCCTCACCTCCATCCGGCCGGGCCTCAAGCACCAAAAAAAGGGTTTGCGGCTCCCCGGTGTTGGGGATTCAAACTCAGCATCAGCTAGCCTAGCGGCTAGCGAAAGCACAGAGCTCCCTAAGCGTCGAAATCCACGAATATGAGGCACTGCAGCCGATCGGGTGGCCTTGAGGCCAAGGCCGGCAGCTAGTCTGCTTGGAGATCCTCCTGTATCTCTGTGAGCTCCGTTTGCCCGCCTCCTGCAAAGAGAGCTTCGGGGGTCGTCAAGGCTAAAGGGTTGAGAGGCCCTACCCTACCCGCCAACTCTTGCAGGGTTCGGGAGCAACGGTTAAAGAGATGGCACGTCGGCTCAGACACCAAGGGTTAGTTCGCTGATTTCCGCAGTAGGGTCGGGTTAGTCGGGTTCTTAGGTGACTTGGCCAACCTGAATTCGGAGAGTTCCTGGCTGAGACGATTAAAGAAGATGAGTGGCAGCACGATGCAATCATGCCGATATTGAGGGGATGGAAAAACACATGACCATGCTCGATAGTGAGAACGAGACCTGATGCTCGCGGCTGCTTGTTCCGCACCCGGCCTGGGGCGATCACGGAGATCGGGTTCCTGCCCAGAAACTTCGCGGCAGCTTGCGATCTGGGCTCTAGGCTGCTGCCTATTTGCCAATCGTTACAAGTGTAACGTTCTGCACAAAACGGCTCTCGGGGGCATCAGTGCTTGACCTGCCAATCATTCTGATCATCTTCGCAGCAGTGTCGCCGGGAGTGAAGAGGTTCCGGGCAGGTTGTGTTGAACCTAAACTTGAATGACCTCTAAGTCTAGACTCTCGAGCTTCTGGATCCGACGCGCCAAGACACCTGCGTCCGCTTCCCTTCCCCAAGACCCCACCCATCTCAGGACTGGGCGGCTTCACAATGAATTCTGGGGCGGCTCTGCACTTCGACGCTTGCGACATACGCCTGAAAGCAATGCGGGGGTCATAGGTCGAGCTGGGATACCTCTAGGGCTTTGAGTTTCAGGGCGCAGAGGACCCGGGGATTTTGGTGTCGGGGGCTTCGGCGTTCCATGCATGGAGCATCGTGCGTGAAGTTGCTACTGAGCTGGCTTCTCTGCTCGAAATGTAGCTTCGAACGGTCGGACTCTAGTTGGGGCTGATTAAGCTTGGAGATCCCCATCCGCTTCCCTCTTTCAAAAGTCTGTTCCATCACACACTTTTCTGGCACCCAACATATAGAAAGAATGCATGTTCATGCACGACTTCCCACCCTATAGGAGTAAGGCATGTTCATGCGTGTTCATAAGACTCTGCTCGGCTTGCGCATAGCTTAGCAGTAAGAGCCAACTGGCCCGATCCTTTCGACAGGATCTAGAGAGATCCAACACCATCTGCAACAGTTCTTTGACAACCTACAGAAAAGGAAGGATGTTAACCCAAGACGATATGCCATGGCTCACAAAGGGTCTTAGTGCACCCTGTTGAGGTTGGCCTTTAAAGCCTCTGAAAAAGATTCGTAAATTAGGGATCCTATTAAGCCCAATAAGGGAAAAATATATGTAAAATCTCCCAAACAAAGCCTACCTAGTCAAGAAATCGCCTATTCTTCGTCTGCTCCAGGTAGATCCGCGTAGCTTTCAGCATCGCTCCTCTCTCCCCCATGTCCTCCGAGTCTTCTTCTTGAGGGGTCATAGTGGGGGGCCTTAAATAATTAGAATAAGGTTTTGGGGCCCAGTAGACTATAGCTACTATAGTTATCACAAGGAACCCCCCCCCAGAATCGGGTTTCGGAATTCTTTCTTTCCGGCTTGAGGTCGCAGGGCTTATAATGCTTGTGTTTGGGAGCCTGGAGTTTCCGGATAAGCGGGGTTGCAGCCAACGCCCAAGTGGGCGTTTGGTTCCACACCGATTCGACCGTGGTTTAACATGCCAGGTAACAGGCAGGCATGCAGAGGCAGAGACTCTTTCCTTCAACAACAGTTTCCTGTAAGAAAGATGCCTCCTATACTTTACGGACTTTTCTTTAGAGCCCCAAACTGCCACCTCCACGCCCCTGCAGGACACCGAGGTCTCCCCAACGTCAGTTTCTGCAGGGTGAGCGCCTGTACACCCCGACGTTCATCCGGCGAGTTCGCGCACACATTGACTTTAGGGGTTCGCCATCTTCCCGCTGGCATCTGTTCAACAAAACCCTGGGAGGACCTTGCGAACCTAGCAGCACCGCAGCGCACCCCATGCAGAAGAGCATCACCGCCACGGCAATGCCAGCCTGTCCCTCGTTTCGTCCCCCACCTTCAGACTAGACTCATCTTCCTTCCTGTTCTGCTATCCTCAGAACAAGCCCCCAGGCCCTACGAAGGCCCCGAGCTTCCGGACTGGTTGGGAGCATGGCCACAGCTCAGACAACGGGGTTCCCAGTTCGCGAAGCTTTACGCCCACCTCAACCCGGAACAGAATAACCAGGGCTTGATCAAGCAGCGAGTCGAACTCATCTTTTGAAGCATCAACTCTCCCACACAAGCTCCTCCCCGGTGACCACGTAAACGGGCACTCGCATCAGCATTGGCCTGGTGGTAAAATGTGGGGGAGTTGGGAGTTGGGGGGTCGGGTTTACGGTTTGTTGTCTGCCACTCTCAGATCACGGTTCGGGGTTTTGGAGTCTGCCGGAATCGGGACCTCTCTGGTATGGACGAGATACCGCCACTGATCTCAAGTCCTCACGTTCCGATCCCCCTTCTGAGTCAGCGCACGTGACGCGGCCCTTGTCCAGGAAGGCCTCTGGGCAGAGTTCAGTTTTATAGGGTTTTACATGTGCAGGCAGATTGAGGCTCCTGCTGCGTATGTGGGAGTCTTCGTTGCAATGGCAAGTATGGCGACCCCATGAAGTGCTTCTGCACAACCATGCATCCAATATAGGGAGAAGCTATGTGATACCTGTCACTCATTTGCCACGGTTAATGGTTAGATGACCATGATCATGAACGCTTGGAGTTCAAGGTCATAAGTAAGCCCTAGGTTTGCATGAAGTTAGAGTGTATAGACAGATTCTGAGATAAGAGTACAGGAGGAGCAAGTGTATGTGTGAATACTCTCTTTCGCTCTCTCTCTCTCTCTCTCTCTCTCTCTCTCTCTCTCTCTCTCTCTCTCTCTCTCTCTCTCTCTCTCTCTCTCTCTCTCTCTCTCAATGACACGAGCCCAATGATGCACCTTTATGTCATGATGCATTGACGAATGCTACAATGCCGAATGGCATTGGCTCAAAACTGGACCAAGGCTTGACGTCATAAAGGAATGTCTGCATCTGTGTGACTGGGAAAGGGATTGATCTCGGTGTCCCGCTAGAACTGATTTGCACTGTTGATTTGTTCACTCTCTCTCTCCCCTCAATTCTACAGCATTTCAAGGTATGATGTATCTATTCTTAGGGATTGATTTGGAGGGGGGCTGCGACTGGTGTTTGGAACCGAGGATGTCGTGCTGTTTGCAAGTGTGAACACTTCCACCCCACCCCATCGTGACGTCATCGCCGGCGTCAGATATATCTGGATCCCCGCTAACTTCGCCTGCCGCCTCTCTCAGTCTCTCTGCTGATGGCTCGGGTCTTAGCCTGAGGCCAAAGCTAAACCCATCAGCTCTGGACTCGGTGAAATCTGAAACCCAACAGGAAAATCCGCTGTCTGAGGGTGAGGGGGGCCCTTCTGAACCCCGGACCGGAAATCACGGTGTAGCCTCCAGAAACGTGCTGTGCCCCGTGGTCTTCCCGCTGAGCCAGTCCTGGAGCAACTTTTGCCGTTATTCTGTACTCTGTCACGACTCCAGGAACTTGGAAGACTGCTTTGCTTTTAATGTGCATGCGAACTTCGGAGAGCAAAGAAAGCAGGACAGCCAAGCAGGAACTCGAGATCTGAATTACTCCTCCAACAGCCCGTTGGACTCATGCTGTTTGCTCGGGTGGAGCCGGGTGGAGATGTGACGACACCGCGCCGGATGTTCCCAGTGCGGGCAGACCGCCTGCACCAGACGGAACAGAGCTACTCGGCCGGAGGAGTGCGGAGTGCACAAGCGCACATATGGCCAGTGAGGGCTGCCAGCCCGCACTGGAGCAAGAGCATGCGGCCATGACGGGTGAGAACTGTCGCTCCAGCTAGAAGGCAAAGTTGATCACTTGCAAGATCCTGTTCCATCGATCTGGCGCTGTGAGTATGAATCGCAAGCCTGGCAGACGCAGTGGAAAGACTGTGCCTTATAGCTGCTGACCCATAATAAGTTGACTGACAAGTGCGGCGAAGCACAGAGGACAAACTTAGACGCAGCCGCAGAACTTCAATACCAAACTGTGTTGCCGACTTCGGAACGGACCCGGGGCATCCCAAGACCCATAAGGAATCGACAGACTGCCTCAATTCTTGAGGATTTGAGTGGGCTTCAAAGAGGAAGGGGTAAACCAATGCAGTGCCTAATGCCACCGGGCCGACGATACTCAGAGATCCATAAATGCGATTTACTTACCTTGGGTTAGTAGGGACTGGAAGAATCGTAGTAATAGTAGCTATAATTGTGCCACATTCTTCCTAGCCAAAGGTAAGTTTAGAGGGCACCCAAATCCCTGCCGTCCTTCATCTTGGACGTGACCCCGCCTGTCAGGTAGAGTCCTCATGGCAGCCGTGATCGGGTTTGGGATACAAAGCATATATGGGAGTTTCCGAAGCTAGGGGGCCCTACTAGAGAACCCTAAATAGTAGGATCCTCTTTAAAGGACCCCAAAATAAGGTACCCTATTTTCGGAAACTCCCATATGCAAGTCGAATGACAGGTGCACAGCATGTGCGCCCAAAGGGAGGTGGGGTGAATCAGGACATCAGCTACTGCCATCTTAGGTCAGAGCGAGGGATGGCTCCATCGCTTGAGATCAAGGCTTGAGGCTTGAACCTACCCCTTCCGGCTCGTAAGTGGGGTGTAATGGTTGTTGCATCTACCATTTAGCTTCTGGCACTTCTGGGGTGTGCTCTTCGTGCGGCTGGCTCAAGGGGTTGAGTTTAGGGGGTCTATTTCGTCTGAGGCTTTTGAGAAGCTGCAAGGTATTATGAGACCTCAAGCTTCGGCCCCGGCCGCCAAAAGGCATGTAGGTCAGGGCGACCACGCCGGCCTTCCCGAACTTGGGACTTGGACTTGCATAACTGCAGGAGCAGCAGTTGGAAGGTTTTCTTACTGGCTACAACACATCACGGTGCCGAGAGGGTCTACAATAATTAGACAGAATCGTTCCCCGTTCAACGATAGCTCGAGTTCCTGTGAATGGCTCTGAGCCAAAACTTCAACCTCACGCTCCGAACCCAACCATTCCAAACCCTCTTCGGGAGTGTGGGAAGCCGGTACCAGGCACAGACACACCGCAGGGCAGGCAAAGTACGGAAGCTCCTTGAGCAGCTCACTGTTCGCTGAATCATTAGCCCTCTTTCCTGAGCATGAGAAGTCGAAATTCTATGCTTCTTGGATACAAAACACTACAGTCGGCTTCTGGAGGTATTGACAACACCCCATGACATTGAAGCCCCATGAAAAACACACCCGCTAAACGACAGAACCTGCGTAGAACCCTAAGCCAGTGCTCATCTAGGGGCCTTAATAATTAGAATAGGGTTTTTGGAGGCCATTATACTGTAATTATAATGAGGCACCCCAAAAATAGTGGTAATTGTTTAGGCCCCTATGTTATCCCCGCCACGCCTCGCTTCCGTAGGCCCCGGCCCAAATATCCACAGCCTGCTTGCTCAACTGGCAGATGCCTCGGAGGAGGGTCAAAACCGAGGCGGTTGGCTCCGATCTGGCTTCGGGGTCTTGATTAATGATCCGATCTGTTCACGGTTTAGGGTGTAGGGTTTAGGGTCTTGATTGACATATGTTTTACGTAAGTAGGTACGATAAAGACACAATTAGGAGGGAACATGGAGAGCGGAGGGCGCAGGGGGCAGTGGCTTGCCAAAGGCCTCGATGGGCGAGCCCTAAAACCCTTGAAGCAAGCAACAAAAAGAAACCTCCCCAGCTCGATCCCACATCACCCTTCAACCCTCAGAACTAAACCCTCAAACACTCTCTTAACGCCCTAAGTCACCTAAACCCCAGAGCCTTCCGGTTTCCTTCAGGGGTGGTCCCGGAAGACTTTGGCAAAGGCCGCGACCACCCGTAGCAGCTTTGGTGATCGCAGCCGGATCAAACGTCCTATCAAAGGTGGAATGCTTCAAAGCCTCTGAAAAACATGATGGGCCTGTCACACGCAGCGAAACTGATGCTACCATCAACCTAAGAAACATCTGTGAGGTGAAGACTCCCTGCCCTGATGCACCTGGGCCCTTCAATTGGCCCGATGAAGCTGCGGTGCACGACCTTGTTTACCTGCCCATCGCTTTACTCGGAAAGCCTACGCATAATATGCGCATAAGCCGCTCATGACCTTTTTGGAGCAGTTGGGGATTACGTTCGTATTGGACTTACGCTAATGCACCCACACCCAAATTCTGCGAGAACAGACTCGCTTTTCGGCGAGAGCACCTGATACAGAGGCCTAATCGGGGCTCATTGGCATAGCTTGCATAGCTTCTAAAGGCTAGGGGCCACTCCAACACTCCCCACCTGCTGATTCAGTCGAACTTTTATGCTCTCGCGCCAAGCCAAGAACAGGCTGCTCCAACAATGCCACGTGACAGAACACGGAACGGAGATGTGCCAAACAGTGCCAACATAATGAACACCCAAACAGCGTGGCGCGTCTCTGCCCCACCCAACCTGAAAAAAACCAGCCTGTCAATGAAGCCCCCGTGGTCTCAAATCCTGGGTCATACGTTGCAAGCCGAGCCGGTCGGGAAGCAACCCAGACCTACGTAAAGCTCAGGGCCGAAGGGATGGATATGCGCATATTCAATGGACGAATCACGAACGAATGAATGAATGTACCAACATGTATGTATGTGTGTGTATATGTGTGTATATATGTATATGTATATATATATATATATGCAATGTCATGCATATAACTTGTAACTGTACATGTGTAGAGGTATATACACAAATGATATATATATATATATATATATATATATATATATATAGTTAGTTAGTTAGTTAGTTAGTTAGTTAGTTAGTTAGTTAGTTAGCTAGCTAGCTAGTTAGCTAGTTAGTTAGCTAGTTAGCTAGTTAGCTAGTTAGCTAGTTAGTTAGTTAGTCAGTTAGTCAGTCAGTCAGTCAGTCAGTTAGTTAGTTAGTTATAAATAAGTAAACATATATAGAAATATGTATATAGGGGGAGGGAGGGAGAGAGAGAGAGAGAGAGAGAGAGAGAGAGAGAGAGAGAGAGAGCGAGCGATCTTGTCTAGGATGATGTTTGAGATGCGGATCCGACCCGCCCCAACAAGCCCCCATGCGCGTCCACATGGCCTTCTCCGGATACTTCCAAGCCAAGAACTCATAAATGTTCGCAATGCCTGTTCAGGGGTTGTGTGGAACCTCGAATCTTCATTTCTACACCTCAACGCGTTAAACCTCGAAGCTAGCCTGGACCTCCAAGCGAAGGTAGACCCCATCCCACCACGAAAAAAGACTGAGCATGTTGTGAACATTGGGCTTCGTTTAGCCAGCCACGCAAAATGCTTGTAGTACCAGGTATTCACACATGTGGCAGATCACCAGCACCAGCACCATCGGCACTGGCAACAGCACCAACAACACCACCGCCGGCACTAGCACTAGCACCAGCACGTGCACCAGCAGGAGCACCCGCACGACGACCACTTCCACCACCATCACCACAACAACCGTGGTCGTGCTGCATGAGGCATCAGAAGTCCAACATCTAGCGCTGCATTCAGAATCCCAGTAATGATAACAGCACTCACAGAGACAGCAATAAGATATAAGCCGCAAAACCCGTAGTAATAGCAACGGAACTAATTACTGGCAATACTAGTACGAATTTACACTGAAAATGTGTACTCGTTATTGTAATCGCCTATATGAGTTATCCATCGTGACAAGTCAAAGAGATATGCTGTATATATATATATATATACTTGTATTATATTATATATATGTACACATACACACACAGACACACACACACACACACACACACACACACACACACACACACACACATGTTCACCGCATTGAAGAGTCAAGGCTCCTGCCTCGACCTGCTGCAACACGCTCCACGCTCACACGCGCCTCTCGAAACCCGAATTCCCGTTTCAAAGTGCCTGTTGCATTGCAGGTTTTAGGCTTTGAGAGGAGGAGTTCAGGGTCAAAGGCTTGAGGTTATCAGCATCTGAGCTTCGGGTATAGGGTGAGGCAGAAGTCGCTTGTACTTCCGGGAGTTTCGTCTTAAGCGGACATTTCCGCATCTTCCAAAGATGTTGCATGCATGGAGGGATTCTCAACATGAGGAAGGAGCTGGCTCCTTTATGGGTCCTTGTCAGAAGGATCCTTCATTAGCCGTCCCATTGATCCTCATTCATGTTCTCAAACAGACCTCTTCCTACATAGATCCAGGATTGCCAAGGTTTCGGGTTTCGGCGTGTAGGATTTGGGGTGCAGGATATACTAGCATAGTAGGATTTACGGGACTTCCGGCCCTAGCTCCCGTTGGAGTTCCCGTGTTTGGATTGAAGTCCTCAAGGCTCCAAGGTCTGAGCTCTTCCGGGGAAGCCTTGGCTGGAGGTCTTACGTAACGTTCAGTGTGTCCCAACGACGGAAAGCCACGGCCTTGTTCTCCAATCCGCAAAAGACCCCTTGAACACGAAGCCCTAGTCGTATTTCCGACATCCCCCCAAATCTCCAACTTCTCGCGCCATGCTTCTTGTTCGTCGAACTTGAGGCCCGGACTTTTTCGCTGTACTTGATGAGCCTTGGATTGGAAGCTCTGATGGGAGTAAGAGGTTGATTAAAAAGGGCTGAACGTATCTGAGAAACACTCCGCAAGAAGGCCGTGTCTGCATGCCCACACGCATCCTCAAGACCGAAAACAGTACCCCAAGGATCCCAAGACCTCTCAACCAACCTCCTCTTGCTAAAGCGGCCATCCTGCCTTCTGCAAAAAGTCCGACATCTATGGCACAGTTTCCAGCATCCAAGGTCCAACGCCGAGCCCTTTAAAGCACTCCGGAAGCCTAAACCTTAAGCCTTCAAAGACTCCGTGCAAATTCCCCACCACCGAAAGCATTGTGCCCAGGCGCAGGTACTGCAAGAGCTCGGACTCCAAAGAGTTGCTGCCTTCCTGGTCTCTTCGTGATGCTGGACTCTTGCTCACACATGAGTTTGACAATCCAAGAGAAGACTCCGCCAGCCCAGCAGGATATCAGCCTTTTGAATTCGTCTTTCCGGCATGATGAACCTGCACCTGCACCCCACCCAACCCTAGCCTCCACCGAAAGTTATAGACATGGGTGCTGCAACACCGACACTATTACGTCTACGTTACTTCTATGGCCATTTTTGCTGCTGCTGCTGCTGCTGCTGCTGCTGCTGCTGCCCGAACCCTAAAACTGACGTTCTTTCTCTTCTCCCCACGTTTTTTTCAGTCTTCCGAAGCACTGCGGCCTGGCGGGGTGCGTACTCGGCGTGGCCTCCCTCAGAAGGCCAGACCTTCACAAGGAAGCTTCGCTAGCTGCTAGCTGATTTTGGCGTCTCGGCAGGCAGAGTTGCGGGCCACAAGAGGCATCAGAAGTTGGATTCCGGCGTAACAAGCTGAAATCAGTGACAAAGGGACTTGGGGAGCCAAGGCCTCCGCGCATTGAGCGCCGCAAGACGACAACTCCGGGCTTAACCCAGACCCTCGCAGGTAACCCCTTCGTCTAACACCTGCGGAAGCGCCCCGAAATTCTAATGGCCAGCGCTTATACCAAATTATAGTAGTCCTGAACCGCACAGCAACGAATCGTCATGGTAACCTGATAGTGACCCTTAATTAGTAATTAGAGTAGGGTTTTCGGAGCGCATTATACTATATTCATAATAGGGATCCCCAAAATAGAATTGGTAATTATTTAGGCCCCTATATTAACTGTTCTGGAACATTCAGGCTAGGGTCGGGATCCCACGAAAATCATGAAGCCGCGACGACGTTGATACCAGTGACCGTGACGACGACGAACAGCTGCTGCGTTCGACCCAGTTTCCCCAGCACATCACTGCTCACCACGTGGCTACACTGAAATTCCATGAAGCGACACTTCGCAGACTGCTGGGCAGTTGTATGCCCTTCAACATCTGGCTGAACTTGAACATACGGCCAAAGGTCAAACTCTGCAGGCCGCTGGGTAGTCGGATGCCCTCCAAGCTCTGGTCGAACTCATGGCCAAATGTCAAACTTTTCAGGCTGCTGGGTAGTTCGATGCTCTCCAAGCTCTGGTTGAACATACTGCCAAATGTCAAAGTCTGCAGGCTGCTGGGTACTTGAACGCCATGGTTGAACATATCGCCAAATGTCAAACTTTGCAGGCTGCTGGGTAGGATGCCCTCCAAGCTCTGGTTGAACTCATCGCCGAATGTCAAACTTTGCAGGCTGCTGGGTAGTTGGATGCCCTCCAACCTCTGGTTGAACTCATGGCCAAATGTCAAACTTTGCAGGCTGCCGGGCAGCTGGATGCCCTCCAAGCTCTGGTTGAACTCATCGCCAAATGTCAAACTTTGCAAGCTGCTGGGTAGTTGGATGCCCTCCAAGCTCTGGTTGAACTTATAGCCAAACGTCAAACTCTGCAGGCTGCTGGGTAGTTGGATGCCCTCCAACCTCTGGTAGAACATACGGCCAAAGGTCAAACTCTGCAGGCTGCTGGGCAGTCGGATGCCCTCCAAGCTCTGGTTGAACTCATCGCCGAATGTCAAACTTTGCAGGCTGCTGGGTAGTTGGATGCCCTCCAACGTCTGGTTGAACTCATGGCCAAATGTCAAACTTTGCAGGCTGCCGGGCAGCTGGATGCCCTCCAAGCTCTGGTTGAACTCATCGCCAAATGTCAAACTTTGCAAGCTGCTGGGTAGTTGGATGCCCTCCAAGCTCTGGTCGAACTCATGGCCAAACGTCAAACTCTGCAGGCTGCTGGGTAGTTGGATGCCCTCCAACCTCTGGTAGAACATACGGCAAAAGGTCAAACTCTGCAGGCTGCTGGGCAGTCGGATGCCCTCTAAGCTCTGGTCGAACTCATCGCCAAATGTCAAACTTTTCAGGCTGCTGGGTAGTCGGATGCCCTCCAACCTCTGGTTGAACATAGGGCCAAATGTCAAACTCTGCAGGCTGCTGGGTAGTCGGATGCCCTCCAACCTCTGGTCGAACTGATAGCCAAATGTCAAACTTTGCAGGCTGCTGGGTAATTGGATGCCCTCCAACCTCTGGTTGAACTCATGGCCAAATGTCAAACTTTGCAGGCTGCCGGGCAGCTGGATGCCCTCCAAGCTCTGGTTGAACTCATCGCCAAAAGTCAAACTTTGCAAGCTGCTGGGTAGTTGGATGCCTCCAAGCTCTGGTCGAACATACCGCCAAATGTCAAACTCTGCAGGCTGCTGGGTAGTTGGATGCCCTCCAAGCTCCGGTTGAACCAATGCCAAACGTCAAACTCTGCAAGCTGCTGGGTAGCTGGATGCCTTCCAGGCTCTGGTTGAACTCGACACCAAATGTCAAACTCTGCAGACTGCTGGGAAGCTGCATGCCTTGGGGGAGCTCTTGGGCGGGTTCCCATCTGAGTGACATCGTCTCCTCCAGGGTAGCTGCATCTACACTAGGCAGAGTCTTCTCCTGGAGAAGGCGCTCCCAAAGCATCGCGACACGACCCGCGCCAAGCTTCCGCACCACGTACGAGATCTCGTCGTGCTGGACTTGATGCAGCAGCGGCTGGCACTGATCGATGACACAACCACCAGATGTCAGCACAAGCACATTTGCTGGTTGGCCAACTTCGGCAGCGATGCGTCCCGCTACTTCCCGCCCCGTTTCGGCAGAGTTGACCTCCAGCTCGAAGCTGGAACCTGCCAGGCAATGAATGGTTACGGCCCTGTGTGGACCGGCCTCTGCAGGCTGCGGGACGCTCAAGATTTGGTTCATGGTGCCTTCGGAGGCTTTCAATCGGCCATGGCATTGGCTCCGCTTCCCTGAGTCACTAAGAAATTATGACTCGTTGTTCATGCCGTTTTGTTCAACATAAGCTTTCTGTAATCGCCGTGATAAACGGATTTGGACCAAAAATGCTGTCTCCTAAGACTGATGCCGTCCTTTCTTGCCTTCTTTCATCTGTGTTCCCAGATCCGGTGACTGTCGGTTTTTCCCAGGATGCGGGGGAGGTCAACATTCAACAATTTTGCACTCGCTTTGCGGAGAGGCTCCCATAGACTGTGTAAGGGGCTTGGGGTTTGGGGTTTAGAGGTTTAGGGGTTTGGGGTTCAGGGATTTAGCGGTGTAGGGTTTAGGTTGTTTTTGCATGCCTTTTTCCTCCTGCCCATCAGGTTGCTTGGAATCCACAATTGTGGAAGGCTATGACGAGGGGGTTTAGGGTTTTGTGTTTATCTACTTTTCAGGGGTTTAGGATTTTGGGGTTTAGGGCTTCAAGGGTTGACGGCTTTAGGGGTTTGAGGGCCGTAGAGGTTTAGGGTTTTGGAGCTTTTAGGGGTTTTGGAGCTTTTAGGGGTTTAGGGGCTTTGGGGTTTAGTGTGTGCGAACCTAAGATATAAAACATCCGCAGACGGTCAGGATCCATACGGCTGATGGAATCTGCAAAGGAGGACACTAGCAACCGGCACCGGCGGAGTAGGTGTGTTCGCGCCCCATGTTTCCAAAAGTTAACTGTTTTTAGCTACCGAAGTCTGCAGTCGTACTTTTGCAACAGATGCGGGGGCCGCAGGCTTACCATCGGAGTTGCGGCCAACGATGACCTCCGATGGTAGGTGAGAAAACGAACCTGCAAAGTACATCCATGTTGATTCTGACTTGCTTTTATTAGAGCCCCACAAGCCAAAAAGCAGAAAACGAGCCTATCTGAGTCAGAGTCCGGTTTTTTGTCCACAAGCCGAAAGGCAGATAACAAGTCCAAGCCGACAAGCAGAAATCGAGCCTAGCACAGCAGAAATCGAGCGATATCGTGGTTTTGTGCCAACCAGCAGAAATCCTGCGTGTCTGGACCAATGGGTCAACAGGCTGGGTCGCAAGTGTCGCTTAATTTGGGAAGACTGCGGTCGCTAGTCTTGGAGATGTTCAGGGTGACGTCGCGTGACGTCGCTATAACTTGCGCAACTTTATACACCCTTATGCTCACTACTTCATCCGACTACCAGAGACCCGAACCCCCGCTGAGACGGAACATGTTAGCCATGAGCCCATAGTGCAGACCTTTGCTTAGGGCTGAGGGTTTTGGGATTCAATTCATACAGAATGAAATCGGAAGCCAAAGCTTCCATTTATTCGGGTTGAGCGCGTCTGAATATTCTCTAGGCATGCTCCGAATCAGCGGAGAACACGCTCTTCCCTGCCCACCTCCCACAAAAAGCCCATTCGGGCCTCGTAGTCACCTTCTGCACCCACCGTCAGGAACGCCTCACCTCGCAGCGAGCAGTCCGAAAAGCTTCTATAGGGCCCAGGGGATGAAGAGTCTAAAGCGTATTCGGCTCTTGGGATACTGAACTTACCCGATGCTTCCGGGCAGGCTTGGTTCTTTAGACGCCTCCACCTAAACGCCCTGCCTGATCCCATCCTCCTGCTTGGCATCCTATGCAAAAGCATGATCTCGCTGGTGTCGGCGCCATGTCGCAACCACCACCATCATCACAATCAGCAGCCGTGTAAGCAGCATTGCAAGCCGCAGCAACCTGAGCAACTCTAGAATTCTAGAACTAGCCCCATGCTCCTCCTCCTCCTCCTCTTCCTCCTCCTCCTCCACCTCATCATCATCGCCATCATCATCAAGATGATCGTGATGATGAACGTCATCAGGCACAGTCCCTCGCCCTCATGAACAGGTAGTGCTGCTTCGGGTGCTGGTGCTGTTGCTGGTGCTGATGTTATCAGCATCATCACAACCATCATCGAAACTGACACAAGGATCGGCTCCAGGGTCGGTGGTGATTGGCATGCGGCGCGCTTTGTATGTGGGGCTGGCCTAGGCCAGTTCCAGCACCAATGACTGCAATGGGAGCGCCCTCCTGAAGAGTGCTCTGTGCTCGGCGTCGGGATGTAGAGATCTCTGGAAGTACGTTCGCGATTTGGGGTTGATGTGTAAGGTTCGAACGGCTTTGGAATTAGGCATGCGTGGGTGAAAATAAGTTTAGGGATAAGTTTAGGAATTGCTGGCAAGGATCGTGGGCCTCGAGACTACTCACTGTCAAGAGCCTGACCTCAGTGCGGAACCCTGCACTTTAAGCCCTAAAGCCCTCAACTCTAAACACCAAGCCTAAGCTCTAATCAGGCCCCTGCAGGGGCCAACTGTTGGAGCAGTGAAATCCGTGCCGAGGTTTCGGTATGGGAAGCCAGCGTGAAGGCTGCCAAGAAAGCGGATGCAGTGTAAGTATAGAGCTTAGGTTTGAGTGCTACAAGTGCAACAGGTGAAGTTGCCCCAACGATCCGGCGGAGGGACAAAAGGAGGCAAAACCCGGAACTCACAGCACCCAGCCGTAAGCCCTCGCCAACCTTACCGGCCAAGTCCTAGACTCTTGCACCCCAAAGGGCGCAGCAACTTCCAGATTCAGGCGTGAGGGTTCGGATCGCCAAACTCCATGCTGTACAGATGAAGGCAGATGTAGGATCCAGGGTGTAGATTCTAGAGCCCTATGGAATAAGCCCTTTGTGCAGTGTTCAGCAGCTGCAAGGCATTGTTCCATTCTTCTTCGCCTTGGTTCGGCCCAGGGTCCTTGACTGTGGCCTTCTGCAGTGCCTCGCAATCCTGCGTCCAGCTTCGGGCTTGACACAACCCTAAACCCTAAACCGCTCATGTTACAGATTGATTGAAAGATGAAGATGCATAAGCATGATCGTGACAATTGCCCAGGGATGGTAGTTAATCACAGGGAGAGTTCTGATCCTGGCAGTAAGTCGACCATCATGAACCAAGCCCTAAATCTTCGACCCTGCACCTGGAAATGAAAGCTGCACATCCACAAACCCTGCGCGGTCGTCGAGGTCGTCCGGGCAGTGGGCTTCGTAGTACTGAAGACTGGCATTGGTCTACATGTTTCGGGGCCATCAATCACCGCGAACACGACCGCCGATATATCTGGTGTTGGTGGTGACGATGATGATGACGATCATGATGATGATGATGATGATGATGATGATGATGATTGTTGTTGTTGATGGCGATAACGACGATCATGATGTTGATCATGCCAATAGTGGTGATGGTCACTGTGAAGATTTTTACTTCAGTTAAAAAGGAGAAACTGAAGAACACCAGGATAAGGACTAGGACGATGTGATGTTGCGTTGATGACGACGATGATCAGGATAATGATGATGACGACTCCGACTCAACTGAGATTATGCTGCCCGCAGGACTGCTGAGATGACGACTACCACGGCACCTTCGATTCATCTGGAACATCCCTGGCCCTAGTCTTAACCACCAACCGTCGGCCTTGTCCCTGTTCAAGGTGAGGATGCCGTAGCCCTGCGCAGCGAAATCCTGGCGGCTGATGGGTTTAGGGTTTAGTTTTTAGGGTTTTTAGGCTTGCGGGATCGTCGGGGCATTCGATCATTACCATCAAGGATTCAACTTAGGGTGCCCTTGCGCTTATGATGAAAAGATCCTTACAGTACGATGTTATTGTACGGACCCCTCTGATTGGCTTCATGTTTAGGACAACTTAGGGGCTTTCGTGGCTTGGGGACCTGACAAGCTTGACTTACAAGCTTTCGGAGTGAGAGTCGGAGGATGAGAACCCCGTCTCGCTGCTTCGCGCCTGTCACCGATGGAAGCTCTGGAGTTGAGGTTTAGGGGTTGGGGGTCGGGGGTTCGGGGCCTAGGCCTGGGCCTCCGGTCGAGATTTCTCGCCTGTGACGTCAGTTCTCAGACAAATTCACCCCTGCGACAAGCGAGCGAAGGCCCAGGATTCGAGCGCTCACTTTCAAAACACTGCGCCGTAGGGGCTCAGAGAAAAAAAACCAAGGTGTTACGAAAGTTTACGTTAGTGAAAGTGGCATTCCGACATGAACACCCCAAAACTGTTTGCGAAGCTCCCGAAAACCTGGCGGGGCCACGTTGATGAGCTCCACCCGCTCGATGCCCAGGGTCTGATTTTATGGCTTCATTGGGGGGAATGTCGCATTTTCTGCGAGCAAGGCATCACAAGGACACAATCGGACTTCAGCCGTAATCTAGTCTTCCCATGGAGAAACGGAAAATTTACAGGCGCTCAAAACCCTAAACAAAGCCTACCCAGAACTCAGCTTTAAGCTCCCAATCTAAACAGTCTGTCGACTGCAGGCTGCATACCGGGACTGAAACGCATGAACTCCTGTGAACCTAGCGGTCTCATCTGGCAACAATCATGAATAGAATTGCAATAACAGAAATGACAGTAGGAATACGAAAAATGACTCTCGAAACTAAAAGTGTCAATTCGCCCTTCCACGGACCGAAGTCTTTGGGCATGGAAAACTCCGTTTTGGGATTTAGCTTGATGCTTCATGATGATATCGCTTGGGACGGCGACGATGATGCTGCTGTTAGTCTTGGCGAGGATGGCGGGAAACACCGACTCAGTCCAGCCTCCTCTATCTTGCGTCCGCTGATCTCCCAGCCTCAGATCAGTCTGAACTCAGCTCTTCGGAGCTTGGGTCCCTGGAGCCCTCGACCCGAAGAAACGAGAAAGCTCCGTCCCTCTACTCTGACACCTGGAAAGCAAGACAACACGTCACCTTCGAAGTCAGGGGCCGCAGTGACAAACTGCAGACTGCTAGAGCTGGTCTTCCAAAGCTATCCCTAAATGCCGCAGAACCTGCTCCTTTCTTTTTTTTGCCCTGAGAACGAACGAAGCGGAGCCTCTACGGCGAAACCCTAAAGAATCTCTGACACAAGTTCAAGTCTAATCTACAGCCTACCAACCTAACTTCCACCCAAACTCCAAGCGGGCGTTGAGGCTCAGGAAAAATAAACAGCTCCTGATTTGAACCCCTTCAAGCAATTGCCTTCACCGATCTGACTTCATCATCTTCTGCCTGAAGCTTTCATCGACATTGTACCTGCAAAGACTCGGCGCCACACCGAGGTTCACAAACCTGGCCGAGTTCTCCACGACCTGCAGCAAACAAAGGCCGCAACTGCAGGCCACGCCCTCGACCCAGAGCCCACAACCCCAACCCCCTGCCCGGAGTCTTCCTGGCTTTGGAATTGGGGATTTCGAGCTTCAAGTCCTAACAGCACTATTGCTTCCATAGCAACAAGAACCGAAGTATTGCTACTTATCTGCACACGGCAATGGAGATGACGATTGTCAGTCTGATAAAGGCGATCGTCATGCTGTCGAAGATGGTGTACATGCTGCAGACAATGCTGCAAGCTCTGACAACGACTGTCTTGTTGTCCATGCTGCTGGTGCTGCGGATGAGGGTACGATGAAGGTGAGCATGATGAAATGGACGATGTGCTAATGTTGCCGATGATGATGGTGGTGGCGGTGGTAACAATGGTGACGACAACCGCGGTCATTATGATGCCTGCTGCCCGCGGCCATCAAGTTGAAGCTGCCAACGCGGCATTGCAGCGATGAGTCATAATTCAATGAGACCGCAATCTCTTTCCTCTTGAAGCTTCTAGGAAGGTCACTTCTCCAGAATTGAAGCGTACAAAGTAGGGATACCGGGGCGCACGCAACACCGGCCACGGCTAGGCAGGCCAAGAGTGGCGGCCTTTGCTTCGATCGAAACGTTTCGGGGTTGATTCCGGAGTCCCGGAAGTTTACTGAAACTCCCAACGCGATCTTCTGAGTCCCCTTGCTTGACGATCCCCGCTTCCTTGAGGAATGTCTGGAGCACCTCCATGAAACTTTCGAAGCGCTCGTTCTTAAACCTGCAGCTGTCTGGCTGTAAGGCTGCAGTTTTTGGTCTGGTTCTTGAGGGCATTTCAAGGGTTTAGCATTCCAGGACTTAGGACTTTGGGCTCGTAGGGTTCCAGGGTTCAGGACTGTGTAGAGCTCTAGATTTTCGGACCGGTGGCACCAGATTGAGCACTGGGGCGTGCCAGCAGCATTCAATCTTTCATTTCCCTATGTGAAACCATCTCTTCTGTTCCCGAAGCGGTCAGCGATTCAAGGTTTTGAGTTTGAGGATCCTCCAGGATGTCACGATGTCTCTCCCCGCTTTCTATTGCAGTAAAAGGTCTTGAGGAGCGGGTTTAAAGTCTTTGGGTTCCCTTGGGGTCACATGCCTATTGCTCTAACGTGCGTTCACCTAAGTTATGCATCTGCAAATCAGAAGAAGAAGCCTTCTTTTAGTTTCAGAGCACAGGCAGACTGTGGGCTCTTCTGACTAGCTTGGTTGAATCGCATTTCAAGCCTGAAACTTACTTATATTGTTGTATGATCAGGGGCACGCCGGGCACCACTTCCTGGGAGGACTGTTCGCAACGACCAGGGGCCCTCTGTCCATTCAGGGATTTCATAGTCAAGTGGTCCGCTCGAGGGATCCGCATGCAGAGTAATGTCTTATAGTCGGGCTTTAAGCCTTAGAATCTACTCGACCACTCACATGCTGAATTGCGAACCCGCAGCCCAAACAACAGTAACCCAGAGACAATGCGAACCACTGGGGCGTGAGACTGTTTCTCATAGATCATCCGCTCGGGTGGGACCTGCAGCCACGGCCATGCAAACCCGTTGGCTTCAAGCAAGGTCCAAAAGTCACGTGAGGTTCACAGGCTTCAGATTTGGAAAACCGGGCAGTATGCTTGAAGCATTGGGCAGTGCAAGAGTTGTTGATGCAGTTGCAGCTGTCTATCTCAGTGTTGTTTTTATCAGTGGTGTTCTTGACGATGAAAGTGGTGCTGATGTTGCTCATGATGGTGATGAGGAGGGGATGAAGATGAAGACCACAGAAGATTGTGATGATGCTGACGACGACGACGACGCTGGCAGTTTTGGAGGTGATGATTGTGATGGTGCTGTTACAGGTGCAGGTGGGGGTGCAGGTGCTGCAGGGCGCTCCCGCTGGCACTGGTGCTGGCGGTGGTGGTGGCGGTAATGGTAGTGGTTATGGTGGTAATGGTGGTAGTGGTGGTGGTGGTGGTGCTGGTGGTGGTGGGGCTGGCGGCGGCGGTGCTGGTGCTGGTGCTGGCGCTGGCGCTGGCACTGGCGGCACTGGCGGTACTGGCGGTGGTGGTGGTGACGGTGGTGGTAACGGTGGTGGTAACCGTGGTGATAATGGTGGTTGTAATGGTGGTGGTAATGGTAATGGTGGCGGTAATGGTGGTGGTAATGGTGCGGGTAATGGTGGTGGTAATGGTAGAGGTAATGGTGGTGGTAAATGTGGTGGTAATGGTGGTAATGCTGCTGCTGCTGCTGCTGCTGGTGCTGCTGCTGGGGCTGCTGCTGGTGCTGGTGCTGGTGCCGGTACCGATGCTGGTGCTGGTGCTGCTGCTGCTGCCGGTGCGGTGGGTGGTGCTGGTACTGGTGACGATGACGACGATGACGGCGACTGTGAATGACGCTGGCCAGGACAATGATGTCGCAGACCGAGACGACGATGCTGATGCTGATGATGCTTGCGATGGTGCAAGCCGAATCCGTGTTCCACTCCTCCTGCCAGCGGAGGCTTGGTCGCAAAGTTGTGGCGTAGAAAGCCATGATATAATTCCAGAGGGGGGGGGCAAACATCACTTTCTACAGGTGGACTGGCCCTTGGGAGTTCAATGCAAGCGGCTAGTGAATCGAATCAAACCGAATCCGAATCTCGTTGCAGTCGTCTTGGGCCATGCCACACAATCCAACCAGGCCCGATGGAAGCGACCGAAGCTGAGAGACAGACAGACAGCGAGGCTTTGCCCCATCCAGTTGACGGTGTTCAAAAGAACCGAAACCGAATGCACTTCACCAGCCTGTTTTTCTACATGTCCAAGACACGTATCCTAAACCCGAAGCCCTTGAATCCCAAAAACTTTGAACATCCCTGTTACCTCAAGCCGGAAACTGAGCGATCGGACAAAGAAGTCGCACTCTTTCGGATGGAGTGTTGCAGGAGGCAAGAACAGGTGCAAACCTTGGCAAAACAGGGTTCAGGGGCTAAGGGTTTGGGAGCAAACTTTTACGGGGTCCCAGAATCAAGAGCCTCAGGATGCTAGCTTTGTCAAGTGTGAGGAGTCTGTACTCCCAGTTATGTCGGCCAGCAGTGGCCTCTTTGAGTGCATTAGAGGATCTAGTTTCACTCCCCAGCCTCAAAAAAGAACCCCAAGCCCAAGCCCCTTCCAGCGAATTGCCGGTGAAGGTCTTTAGGGGTCATGCTTTGCGGGTGCTTGGCTGTAAGAAGGGGATAAAAGTTCAGGATTTACGAGCTTGCGGCTTCGGGGTTTCGGGTCTTGGAATGTTTGGCGCTAACGCTTGTCCAAGCCGTGCCTTCAACTGCAACACATCTTCGGCAAACCTGAAGGGAGCCTCGAAGCACCCCGACCGCCCCCCTTCATGTTCTCAAGCAAGGCTTAGCTTCATGGTGTATGGCTTTAGTTTACGATCTCAAGGGTTTATGGTTTAGTACCGCCCCATCCGTAACAAATAGCCCTGCATCGTTCGTCGTTGTTTTGACATGGACGACCATATAGATGGGAGTTCGATTTCAAATCAGCGATACGTTGCGCTAAACCGTAAAGCCTGTACCCGGAACCCTGCGCCCCCATCCTTCTTCAAACTTAAACCGCTCGCCCTGAACCCTGAACATTGAAACTAAAACCCCTCCCCTCAACAAACCCCAAACTTTGAGCCCTAGAAAACACTACACCCCGCCCCTGAGAGCAGCACGAGAGCCGGTCCCTCCTACGTCCGCCGAAAGCAAGGTGTCTCCCTCGTAGTCAGCCCTGTCGTAATATGTCGTCATAACTAAGTCGAGGGTTTTGGGATTTAACGTTTTGGGGGTTTAGAAAGGATGTGGTATGGGATTTTCGGACTGGCTCGGATACGGAGTGAAGGGTGCCTCATCAGTCAACATGTTCCGGAACAGACTGCGAACGTCAAGCGGGCGTTGTTGGTTTGTCTGCCTGCGGGTTCAGATTGCAGCGGCAGGTTTACCATGACATGGATCGGGGGAAAGTGTGCGCCTAGCAATCATCAGCGAACACCAGAACTGATTGGTCACGAACGCAGCGCCGGCGCAACCTATGAAGAAACGGATCAGCGCGTAGCTCCATGGAGCCGTAATGGCGGTCGACATTGCCACCCAAAAAGCCCCAAAGGACAGTAAGCCGCACTGTGTATATATATATATATATATACAGTGATCAGTGGTGTATATATATATATATATTTATATTTATATGTATATGTATATTTAAATTTATATTTATATTTATATTTTTTTTATATTTATATTCATATTTATATTTATACTTATATTTATATTTATATTTATATTTATATTTGTATTGGTGTTTATATTTATATTTATACTAATACTTATACTTATACTTATATTTATATTTATATTTGTACTGGTGTTTATATTTATATTTATACTAATACTTATACTTATATTTATACTTATATTTATACCTATACTTATATTTATATTTATATTTAGATATATATTTATATTTACGACGATTTGCTCCTTTTGTACTTACCGTTATTTCTTCTGTACTGAAATAAACGATAATTACTCAACATCCCCCAAAAATGAAAAACCACTTAACTGTTACGTCTTTTCGGATCCACATATTCAAAGACAAAAAAACACCTAGTCATGTTGTTTAAATAGGAAATGATCTGACATGTATCCGTATTTGTTAGTCTTGTACTAAGCTCACTGAGTATTGGCGAAATAGTACGAGAGATCCTGCTCTTGCTACATGAGAACTGATTGATTAGTCATCGATTTGGCTTTGGATTACGTTGTAGATATTATGATCAAACACGTACAACACGTACTGAAGATGTACTGGGTTTGTGGTTGCAGTGAACGTATGTATAGTAACACGGGGTCCGAGCATTTGCAACATGGTATATAAGCCATTGCCTATTAGTCAAGCATCAATAAACGTTTTGCCCACGTCGTAGCATCATGGGGCACAGGGTATACAGCGTAATTGTTGGTTGTGTACGCACTCCAGTTGAGTATATGTATATACATATATATATATATATGTATGTTTACATGTGTATAAAATGAGCAAAATGATTCTGCTACTTGGGAACCTTTAGACAGCTTAGCTACATTCGATACCAACTGGTTGTTCAATGCGAAACGAAAGTAGATGAGTGCATCGACACTATTTCTGAGCATCAGATATGATATTGGCTTTCGATTAATACCCACACGAAATTGGCAAGTGAAATTGGCATTTTGCGATTTGTTGAGGCCTTGCGCTACGTCGGCTACTTTTTCTAAGCAGTGAAAAAACTTCACATACTATAGTCTGTCTTCAGCAGAATTTTGGAAAGGCTGACATAAACCTCCAACCCTCTGTGGGCAAGCAGCTCCGCGCGCTCGGGAAACCAACGATTGGGGCGCGAGCTTGCATTGGCAGGAGAATCCACAACCAAAAAACAAAAGAACCCCAAATAATCAAACAACAACTAAAACCAAAAAGAACAACAATCTCCTGGAAACTTGTTTTCTTTGTTTGTCGTTGTTCGGTTTGTTTTGTATGTTGGTTTTTGATTGCTTTTGGTACTTTAGAAACTGCTATTCCGCCTGGAGTCTTATTTCCAGTAGAAGGACGGGGATATTTTAAAACAACACGCATGTCTTAAAACAATGCTTCTGTGCTCATACGGGCCGACGTGCAAGGTTCGTAGGACCCAACAGGGGCTTTGGGAGACATAAAACAGGAACGCGGGGGACTACCGAGTTTCCCTCTCTGTATAGTAAGTGCACACAAGGTGAACCGAGTGAATGAGCGAGGCAGTGCGTGAGTGAACGAGTGCAGGGAGTGAGGTGTGAGAAACATTGAACAACAGCAAAGCATGAGTAATGTCACGTTACGGCCGAGGATAACTGCATGAGGGATTGTGCCAAAATTCCAAAACTCTCTTGTTTTCGCTTCCGCCTAAAGGGGGGGGTGGCACGCATCATATACATACATACATACATACATACATATATATATATATATATATATATATATATATATATTTTTCTACACATGCTTACAGCTACCTTTAAGGGCGGGGCAAACCTCGATCGGGAGGCGGTTGCGGGCGAAACACAGGGAACAAACGGTGCACTGATGCATGGGCTGGCTCCATTGGTGCCCTGTGTTGGAAGTGAAGCACTTATAATGCGCTGGGCATTCAGCAACTTGGTGGGCTCCAACCCATGAAGCGGAGACATAAGCTTTCCAGATGAGGCTCCATCTCTGCTGGTAGGTGTCCTGCGCATTAGCAATCCTGGCGGGGAGGGCCTCAAGGCCACCACGCGGGAGCGGCTCATTGCTGAGGCCGTGCATGTTCCACAAATGCCGGGATTCCATGCTGCTTCGCGCATTTGTGGGAGCAGAAGCTGGAATGGTGAAGTCGCAGTATTTGCACTTCCACCAATTGCCAGTTTGGGGGCTGCTGGACTTGAGCATTGGTAATCCGAGCTGCAAGGCAGGCTTGTCTGTGGACGTGCATGCCGTGGAAGTGGCTCGGAAAACCTGGTTGCTGTCTATTTTGGCCTTGCGGGTGGCAACAACACGCTGGGCAGCGCGAGCATCTCCGCGTTGCACGGTGGCTTCCTTTTTGGCAGCCTTGGCCCAAGAACCCCAGAGCTTGCGTCCAGCCTTCAAGGCGGGAACCTGGGATCTATGGCGGTGTTTAGTGCAAACCTCAGAGACGACATCAGAACTCCTAACCAACCTCAGACAAGCCTTACACCTGTGCTTAGGGGGATGTCCGGAGGATTCGGCCGAAATGTCGTGGGCACCAGAATTTGCCATCGGCCTTCAGCGGCTACTTGCGCGGCAATGGCAGAAGCACTTTGTGATGGCTTTGGTGGGGGAGGGATTTTGTTCAACGGCAGACCGTGAACCTTATGCAGGTGGCAGGTGGAGCTTACGACGTTCATGATGGCTTTTGATGACCGGATTCCCACCACTTTACGCGATCACCTTGGGAAGCAGCGATCGGCGCGGACGAAGGCGAGCGTCATTTCGAAGGAACACGCTGGCAATCCCTGACACCCTGAGCCTGACGAGGGGTTGAGTAGCTGGGATAAGGAGGGCCTGACGACCTGGCGGAACAAGAGGTTCGCGGAGTCGAAGGCGGCAAATCCAGGGCCGAACCATCGCCTCCCGAACCATGCAGGTTCCCTCGGGAGGAACAGGATTTGGGCAACGGGGAAGGCGGCGTGAGAAAAGAGGCCGGTAACGACAGACCTCGAGCGCAACGTGAGGACTTGCAAGTGCCATGAGAACAAGCAGACGGGTTGAGCAGGCGAGGCATGGGATTCTTCTGCTTGGCGCGCGGCTCGGGAGACTGCAATCACTGCGAGGGCCGGCTCCCCGCCAGGATGCGCGAGCATGGAGCTTGGCTTTGTGAACCGATTCACGGGTCCAAGGGAGTGGAGGGTCAGCCTTGGTTTCGTGGACGAGGGCTTGGAAATGGCCGTCGCACAACATGAGGCAAATGGGCTGAGCTTGCCTAGCGCCATGAGCGTAGCCATCACGGTACCATGGAGCAACAACTCCTCTGCACCAGGAGTTAGTCACAGAAACCCACTTCCAGATAATGATAGGACGACCTATGCGGCAGGCGAGTGCGTGCAACATGAAAGTGTCTGCCCAGTAACCTTTTCGTGCACAACCTTCGGTGTATTGGTTAAAGGTCTCAGGAATCCCTGCGCCTGCGGTCATGTGCTCCTGTTCTTCGGGGTCAGGCGCCCATGCTTCGGCATATTCGTTATGCTTTGTCATGTGTCCGACTGCACGCAATCTTAACGTCGCGGCCTCCCTAGCGAGGGCGGCTGCATCAAGAGATTTGCTTTGGAGCCAGCTGATGGCGCTAGCAACGGCGAGGAACGCGCATTCCCCCCCACCTCCGCATGGAGGAGTAAGGCAGTCCTGTCATCGGGTGCGACCTGCTTACCAACAAGTTGCACGGGAGGAGTGGCGGGTCCGCCTGCAGACTGAGGGCCGAGCGACTGTGATGTCTGCAAGCGTGGCTTGGATGCAGTTTCGGCGTCCTCAGGGTTGTCCTGGCAACGCTTAGTTCCAGACTTATGATCAACATCCATGGGGGTGGAGGGAACAGGCTGGGAGTTAGGGTCCAACTGAGTGGGTGCAACTTCCCTCTGCTTGCGGTCTGAGGGGGCCTTGCGGTTTTTGTTCACCCATTGCTTTCGGGGGGCTTCAAGAGCGACAGATTCCCCACCAATCTTTTTGCGAGACTTCTCCGCTATGATTGCGAGACAGCGCTCCTCGTCAACATACGAAAAAGTAGCATGGACATCGGCAGTTTCAACAGGCGATGCGGCTCGGAAGACCCACTGATGCGAATCACCCCGCTTACCGGCCTGACGTCTAGAAAGAATTACGGGATCCTTCCACGCTTGAGCTTGCAGAAACTCCTCAACTTGCTCCTGAGACCAGGAGCAGGGGCCCCAGTGGAGGACCCAGGGACGGATTCTGGGTTTGGAGTCCTCCGGTACCTGACCGTCACATACTCTTAGATCAGCACCTCCTTGTCTAAGCGCAAGGGGCTTGGTCTGGGCCAACGCAGCTGACTGCACTTTTCTGAAGTAGCTTTCTGTGTCATCTTCATCAGCACGTTTGTTCCATGCAACAGACACTCTCTCAGTAGGCTTGGGGTTAAGCTTAACGGCAAACAAGCCACGTTGTCCGCTCACCTTCTGAAGCTTAGCGGCAATGTCAATTGAAACCCGCAAGTGTCCAATCAGAATCTTATGCCGTTTCTGGGTGACCCGTTCCCAACTGCCACAAGTGAGCACACTACACTGGCAGCCGATTCTGTTAGCGAGCTCGGCGATGATAGCATCGGGGCTGTCATGCGAACCCTCAGAGCTGAATAAGCATCTGTAGTGTTCGGGCGCAAGAATCCTCACGGTACACTTAGTCGGGACCGGGATAGAAGCAATCTTTGCGGTAATGGGTTCCTTCGGTATTGGACCTGGCTTTGTGGCTAGTTGATGCACAACAACTATCTTGCCAACACAGGATCACGAGAGGGTGGCCACCACACGCTAATAGTTCTTTTACCCTCCGAGGCCACAAGTGCCACGGTACACGGGGATTCCAACGCATGGGCTTTCCAAAGGGATTGGAGCTCACTCAAGACCTCAGGCCTGTCAGTGCAAATAACGTTGCCTGGCAGTTTCTCTCCAGCTTGAATGGCCTTTGTGGCTTGCCCTACAGACATGGCATGCGGAGCTTCATTCCATTGTGTATCGATCAGCTTTTTAGCACACCCTTTCACGGAGTCATTCCTCGAAGCTTTGGGGAAGGGAGGTTGCAAGGAATCAAGTTTGCGCTCAGTCGAGCTACTAGGGTTCCCAGCAACGCTGCTATCAACCTTAGGTGGCATAGAGGTTTCAGGAATCAGCACGCGGGCTCCTTAGGGCGGGACTCCTCCTCGGGAGGGCTGATGCCGACATTCGTGTGGCCGCGTGGCGGTTGCGAAGACGGCCTGACTTGCGGAGGGGCTTGCACATGGGCATTAAGCCTGAGTAACGGCTGACGCAACACGTTGATCACTCCATTTCTGAATGATGGCGTTTTGCAATTGAAGTATGAGTTGTTCAGCAAGGGACTGCTTCGGGGGATTGGGAATCGGGGATTCAGGGATAGGCTTGCCATTTCTGCGACGTTTGCGTCGAGATTGTTGCCACTCCTGATTGTCATGAACAGCCGGTGGGCTTGCTTGCTGGCATCCCACCTGGAACTGTTGCAATGTTTGCATCAAAGCCTTTGCGAGGGATGCGTCAGCATTCCCTCCTTTCTCCTGCCTATGCTCACTGGTGGGAGCACCTCCACGGCACCACCCACGGTCACATGTGTGCATAGGCTGTTTGCAAGAACGCTTTCTAATTATCACCAACACGCCAGGGTCTCTAGGTATGGCTCCACAAGACTGCGCGTATCGACGTTTCCTAATTCGCAGTGCTGCCAAGACATAGCAGCACGAATCTGGATTGACATTTGCATGGGTGCAGAAGGCATCATGCAGGTAAACCCGCGTTGAATGCATTCTACGATGTTTAATTGGCAGGGTAATAGGCCCACAATTCGAGGAATCGAACAGCAGCAGTTCATTCCTAAATACCTTGATCACACAGGTCCAAAGAAACCTAAGTGCCAAGTTGCACGCGATAGCGACTTGCCCCATACAGAGCCAGATTCGGAGCACCTTTTGCACGGCCTCCATGAGGCCGCCCCAGATCACCACGAGGAGGTAGTGCTAGTTCTCGAATTCGTGTATGCCTGCTTTCGCTTGCAGTAAACATGTCTTTGCAAAGTTTGCCTCCTTGAGAGGATTGTGCCGAGCTCTCTTGTTTTCGCCCCCACCAGGGGGCGTACCAGTGCTCCTAACCCTGTGACAAGTTGGGGCAGCAACCTATATATAGAGCGGCTTATTTCCTTTGGGGCCTTCTGGGTGGCAATGGCGGCCGCCATTACGGCTCCAATCCGCATCTTCATAGGTGGCACCGGCCCCACGCTAGTGACCAATCAGTTCTGGCACTCGCTGATGTTTGTGCCCAGCGTTGTCGGCACGGTCAATGCCACTGCGGCCGGTTGGGGCAACTTGGGAGGCGGCGTGACCCAGATTTTTATGATGTCAGCACGAGTGAGGGCGTCCCCCTCACCATTTCTTATCACTTATGATGTCAGTACTTTTCAATCCTATGATGGCCTCCGGATTGAAGCCGAATGTCGCTTGGCGTGTTAGTGCCTTCCATGTAAGCAGACCTCCCCAGCTTCCAAGCCAGCACCACATCTCCATCCCTGAAGTCGGCGTCTAACAGAAAACCTCCAACAAACAATACCTTCAACTCTAAGCCTCCAGACCCCCTGAACTCTAATGGACCCTAAACCCCTGAGCCCGCGGACTCGAAACCCTGAAAAGCATGTCCGGCAGCGCGGGAGGGCAGCAGCGGCATGGGAGATCGACCTGCCGATGTACCCAAAGCCCGAAGGCAAGATACGCAAGCAGCATGAATAGAAAACAACTTTGCGAATGAGACTACGCAGATTATATATATATATATAGATTACGATATATCGGATGCTAATTACTTTATGCTACATAGCAATCAGAGTCAAAGATCGCAACTTTCACACTTTGCACTTGGACCAGCCCCTTCCCGCATCTCTCCTCCTGATCCCTGGCACCGGAGGCTCAGGAGCTGCGCTGCTGGCGCCAGCACCCATTGCCTTGCGAGCTCTGGGGAGAGATTTCAAGATTGAAAGGCCCGGTTGGTACTTTCTTACGCAGATTATATATATATATATATATATACATATATATATATATATATAATTATATAGATTCATTCCCAAGCCCTTCGGTGCACTGGTGAAGATTCTGGAGCTCGCTCGGACTATCTGCTCCGGGAGCCGGGGTGCTCTCACTGAAGCGACTCACTTGTGGTCTAATCCTGGCAAATGGGAGTTTCCGAAAATTAGGGGTACCTTATTTTGGGGTCCTTATAAGAATATTAGGGTCCCCGATTTTCGGAAACCCCCAAAAAGATCGGGAGATGCCAATCCAGGTGATGGGGGTTTTCAGTGCCGAGCGTGAGAGCTCCAACGACTTCCTATGCAGGGGTTTGGGAGTTTGAGGCGCCTGAGGGGCTGTGGATTTAGGATTTGCAGGATTCTGGGTTTGGGTTTTCTTTTTTGAATTTCGGATGTGGGAGCGGCTGTCGCTCTGGAGCACTTCTTGAGATGGATGTTGTAATCATTGTAATTCACAATCTGAATCCCTGTGTATACCTTCGGTCCGGATAGCGATGCCGGCAGCTTCGCTGCCAAGTCATCGGCTCGAGCCCCAGCCCCAAACACGCTCCAACAAGCGAACTCTTGCTGGGCTTGAGCCTCGAAGTCGATGGCTGGTTTGAAGCAAACGACAACTCTCCTTAAATGATGCTAAGCTGAGCTCAACCTTCCGTTCCCTGCAAACCGTCGTATGTGGCAGCTACCGAAAGCGTTGGGCTGCCACAAATCCTGAGCCCCCCCAAGGCTTCGGGCTTCAAGAGCAAAACAACCCTGGAAGAGCCTGGCAAAATTCATGCCTGAACTCTCAACTGTCAACCCAACTCCAAACCCCAAAACCCTAAATTCCAAACTTGCCTAAACCGTAAACAAAAGCCTCAAACTCTGTGCCCGAGCCCTGTTCGAGGCCTCTTGAGAGGGCCTTTGGGGTGCAGGGCCACAGCTCGCTCACTCTAAGGCGACCTTAAACGTAGACCAGATTTGGTAAGACTCCTCTTATGAGGACCGCTCATTCAAGATACCCCTATCTTGCAATCTTTGGCAGCACTTTGGCAGCTTCTACCTTCGACGGTGGCTTGTCATTAAGATCTCTGAAACCGCGTCTAGGGCTACTCTCTGCCTCTGCTCCGAGCCTGGGATGAACAGCTCGGCGGTGCGCAGCTTGCAAGAGCCACAACATGGGGCCCTCATAAGCACAATAGGGTCTGGGTTACATAATTAGTACACATACGAATAACAATAGTGAGACAAGAATAAGGACAACAAAAATGAAGGCACCTATCTCCCAAATCGCCAGTCATGCTGACAGTGCATCCCTGACTCAAGACCCTTGATAAACCCCTTGACCAGCATCAGCCGTGTTCCTCCCTAGACCCGCCAGACCTGCACCTTCTCCGTATCGGCGGCACTTTTCCTCACTTCAGCAAGATGGCTTCTTCCAGGAAGGTAATGCCCAGTTCCCGCAGCGTCGACCTGCAACCAGACACCCTGAGGCTTTCATTGAAGCATCACAGTGGGGGCCGCAGAAACAGCCTGAATCCCGAAATCCCAAATCTGAAACTCCCAACTAGAATCCTGGAATGAGACCTCGCAAATCTAAACCCCTGCGAGAGTCTGATTGTGAAGCCCATTCTAGCCTTCATCCCAGACCCCGCCACGGCCTGGTAAGGCCCTCCGCATACGTCGCGGCCATCCGGATCTGAGGCGTCCGCACAGTGGGAGCCTCGTCCAGCTATGGATCTGCTGCCAATCGTCCCAAAATCAAAGGTGAATCTCGGCTTCCAAGACGCAATCTGGTTGAGAAGGTTTAGGGTTCAGGGTTCAGGCGCAATTAGGGCAATTAGGGCTTCAGGGTGCCAGGGTTTAACGGCTCTGGGGTCCTTTACGCTGCTTCAGGGCCTGAGGGCGGAAGCGATTTTGTGTGGGGTTGTCGAGTTTCTTCTCGGGTCTCGGACCGGGGAGGCTGCATCAAAAGCGATGTCCCCTCCCTGCCTCGGTCGGAGGATCGCTCGAAGCAGCGGCCGCGACTTCGGACTGCAGCTGTTCCGCCCTGGCCTCGGGAGGCAAGAACAGCAAGTTCATACCGACAGGTTCAACAAAGCCCTTTCAGTTGCCAGTCTGACTGCTTCGAACCTTAAAGCCAAACACCCAGCGCAGAGAATCACTGTGAATCACTAGACTAGATCCCATCTTCATCCACCTTGGGGAACTTTCAATCCTTACTACCCTTGAGTAACCGAACTCTGTTCTGAGAATCGGCCAAATCGAGGAACCGCGGGGCCTTGGCGATACGCCCGCCAGCGCCTGCCTCGCGGACCACAAATCCTCGTGATGATCACGTTATGCAATTTAGTAGTTCTCAGGTGTTTTCGCTCCGTTTCACTAATCAACTTGTTTAAGCCCTGTATTTATGAACCTGGATTACGGGCCTTGTTCTTGTTAGTTCGTTTTAAGGTTTACAAGGTTCAGGGCTTTTGCAACTTCAGGTTTCGGGGCTTCGGGCTACGGGTATAGGAGTTTCATTAAGGGACCCCTATGGCCCTATGTCCGCTTCGAAGTGCCATGTGGTCCTTCTGTTTTGCGAGTTCGGAACCAAAGATTCTATATCAGGTTCTTACTGAAGCCCAAAGCAGGTAGTCGCGAGATAGCCAGGAGAAGCTAGAAGGACGGTTCTTCCCAAGGTGTATAATTACCACATTCCAGCATCTTACGCTGCACGAAAACCCGCCAAAGTGTCCCCCTCGTTGCCTTCAAGGCTTTGGAGCACAAAAGCTGGAAGGGTTGCAGGTGAAGGAAGCCAGAAGGGCCGGGAGTTTCTCACAGGCAAAATGGTGAAAGACTTGGCTTATGGGCAGATCTCATGCTAAGCCACGAGTGGCGCCTCCGGCATGTTTCAGATGGTCTAGTTTGCAGTGTTGCCCACTATTAGTGGGCATGGGATGCTAGGCAGCTGCAAGAGTAACATAGTCACCATGCCACTTCCGGTACGAGATGCAAACTCGGCATATCTCGCTTGAAACTGAAAACTATGTAGGCCTGCACAGCCAATCTTTGCAAAGAGGCCGTGGTAAAGGTGCCAAGATTAAGCAGCGGACTTACGAATGCGGCTTTTCCGACTTAAGGGTTGCTGCAACTCTGTCTACCAAACTCCAAACCCTGGACCCAAAACCCGAGGCCCCAAATATCAAAACCCTATATGCTTTTGCAAAATATTGTGGAGCTCGTGCCCTCAGACTGGCAAGTGATGGTGGGCTCGACTGTAACTCTTAATTCCTGAGTGGCTTCCCACGTGTCTCGCTTCGTGACAGTCCGCATGACCGATTGCGCGCTTGCGCGAAAACCAACATCCAAACCCCAAACGACCTAGACCGAACCGCTAAGCCCTATCTCCCAAAGCCGCTGAATTTAAACCTAGCGGCCTTCCAGGGGGGCCGGCGCGGTCGAGTAGTTCCGCGGACCCGAGGCAACAGCAAGCAACTCTGACCAAATCTCCTAGCGAAAAGGCAATAGGGTGAAAGGGTGTCAGAGAGTCTGGGCAAGGCTTCTCAAGGGCGGACTAGGAAATTTGATTTTGCGAGGTCGCATAAGGCCCTCGTAATGAGAAAACCAACTTGATTTGAAAGAAAGATCCAGACTACAGCACAGACATAAGGGGTTGAGGGCTCTAACGGCATTAGGGTTTTAGGGCTTTGCGGTTCTAGGGTTTATAGCCGTATGTAATTGCATGGTATGGGGTGAGGCTTGGCTACAGGGCCATGCGACACTGTGTTACTTACATTGCCAGCGCGTGGCAGTGCCTGCATGCGAATTGACAAGTGGAAAAATTTAAATCATGGTCATGTCATGCACGGGCGGTTTTCCGCTTCACATCCAGTGAGTCTTTGATCGGCGATGCCTGGAAATATGCTTCTGTGCCAGGTGCACGGGAAGAAGCTCCCGCAACGAGTGTGGCGGGATCTCGTGAAAGATTGCTCAAAGATGAGGTTCGTGCATGTTCGCACAGCCCGAAGAGGAAAACCATGCAGTTGACTGAAGTAATTTGCAGTCCTCAGCCGAAAGCTTGGGCTTCTTCTCCTTGGAATGCCATGGAGAACTGGTGCTCCGTGAGGGAGTGCCCTTGTAATCAGGATCTTGTCATCTAGGGTCGATAGCGGTCTACACATGTCTATGCTATGGGGGTGGCAGGGCCTACCCCGAGAAAGCCTGAGTTAAAATGCCATGGTGGTTGTTTGCTCTAGATAATGCCTGTCCTGAATAAGGTGCGAAGCCAAAGACCCTCGGAGCCCGAAAGCCACTGAACGAAGGGACTTGATTCCGCCACCTTTAAAGAGGTAGGCGCAGAAGAACGCGCTGCCTAAGCCTAAAGTAGGATCTGCATCCTCCACTTAGATTGAAACCCCAAAACCCCGAAGGCCAAAACCCTGACCCCTGAGACCCGACCCTCCAACAGGGGACGGTGCCCAAGCCACCAAGGGAAGGCCATAGTGCTCTGAGAGGGCGATCGTCTCGTCGAACGGAAGAAACCTCCGATGGTTTAAGGTTCAAGGCCCTTTATGTTGTGACATTCTCCTAAACCCCGAGACCACAAAACGAAATGCCGGACGAAAATCCTGAACCCTAAACAGTAAACACCGACACCTCCACAATCAAAACACCAGACCCCTAGCCCTCAATCCCGGCCTACCCTCTTCGCCCGCTTCCCCGGCACGGGAGAAGTCGAAAACCTGCGGAGGGTGCTGCTCTGCCAAGTTTGCTGCTTTAGACAAGGATGCCATAGGGTCTTTTTCATCCTAGGATTGCACAAGGATTTTTAAGCTAAAATGTAAACCTCTGTTTCAGCCCTCTCACCTGAATCAGGATTAGATCCGGTCCTGATTTTGAGACCCTCAAACACGTTCAAACGCGAATTGATATTACCTGGAAGGCTCCAGGAACATGTCGAAGCTTCAACCGGAACCCGAAGTCACTTGGGATCACGTTTAGACCAGCCTAGCTACTAGTTCTATGGCACACAAGAACAGTTTCACTTGTAGAACTTACAACATAAACTTTAACACCCCAACCCTGAAGGAGTCTTTGCTTTGTCTTTCCGTCGCTCTCACGGAGCACCCAAGTACTTGTTGTTGCTGTGTTCGAGTGGGCTAAGGCAAAAGGATGTACCAAACACAAGTGGGATCGGCCACGCTTCGAAGAGTCCGACAAAGCAATGAGACTCCCAAGATCCCTGAACCCAGCGTTCCGAAAAGCTCAGCCCTGCTCCCACTACCCTTCCAAAACAGGAAAATGCTACACTGTAAATTCCGAAAACCCTGCCGTGACCATAACCCATAAAGATGCTTGTGGCATCTGCAAAGTACCGAACTAAAGGACTCCAATAGCTGCACGAACGGGACTCGCCGGTGTGGGTCTAGATGATGTCACGCCACGTTATACTTTCTCGTGAGACTAGCATTGCATACAACACCTGAAGGCGTGTCTCACCAGCCCTGAACTCCAGCAAAATATTTTTGACGTTTGGGCTTGGCCCTGCTTCGTTCGCCGAGTACGCCTCCAGGCACTGCTGCTGGATTTTCAAGTTGAAGGTTGAGTTCACGGTCTAAAGGTTTTGGGATTGGGATCTTCGGAGGGCAGGTTTATGGGGGGGTTGAAGGTTTTGGGGTTTGGGGTGTTGGGCCTTCCGGCTCGGCGTTCATGGCTTTAGGCTTCGGGTTTCAGTTGCAGGCCGACATCTCAAATCTCATTCGGCGCAATGGCTTTCGAGTCTTGGGGATGTAGATGTGACAGCTTTTTTCGATACTGGTACTCTTAGTGACAACGTTGCTCACGACGTTTGTGGCAGGAAACGAGCTAACATACCACCTGAGAATGCAATCAGAAAAACGGGCCCACATGCAAAAGCAACAGATGTATTCGGGTTGGGCACAAATTCCATCCAGCCTGATGTGATGAAGCTTACAGACCCAAGACAATCCAAACAAATACATATCTTTATATATATATATATATATATATATATGTATATCGAGAAAAATATATACTTGCCCTTCCCCCTGACAACAACCCCCCCCCCCCCGCCCCCAATTATGCAGAATTCTGTTGGGCCCTCCATTTTTCAGATTAGGTGTCTATTAGGGGTGTCGGGTGGTTGCAGGCTTCACTTTTCAGTGAGATTCCGGAATTTGTTCAAACACGAATCTACAATTTTGGACTTCCCAGGCTAGGACCGCCGTCTAAGAAACGTCACGGAATCCGGTGGTCGATGAATTCCCAGGCTACTGCCGGGTTGTGGTCCAGGCAGGGAGGCTTCGCCAATGCGAACAGCACGCAAGCCGCATCTGGACACCGGGGTGAATTCCTCAACGGTCTTAGACGGCGGCCCTAGCCTGGCAGTTCCAAATCCGTTCCAATCTTTAGGCGGCCATCCTACCTGTACCCTCATTCAACATAATTGACTTTTGATCATTTTTGAGCTTGTCTTCTGAACTGGCATTTTGTTCAGGCCGGCAATCGTTTACACAAGATTGTCAGGGCGAAGCGATTAGACATATACAGGTAATGTTACGCAACTATGCTTTGTATGTGTACGTCTATTTGTACGAAATAATTGATAGATACAGATGCATACACACAAACAGACAACCAAAAAAACCATGCATACCTAAATTCGCTCATGCCAGCACGATCACGCTGCTTCGGATTTGCATGACGACCACGGTGCTAGCGTCAAAACCATCATCTTCTCTGTCATGCTGACCATCACCATCATCAGTGGCCTCGTTGCGATCGCAACCACCCTTCGAACGACGCTGCCGACCAAGGCGATGACTAACCCGATGTTGGTGATGATGGCATTGTTGTTGATGCTGATGGTGTGATGGTGGTGGTGATGATGATAATGATGATAAAGATCATCTTCTTCTTCATCCGCATGACTAATTGCAGCCGTTGTTGAGCTTCTCCCGTTTTGCGTCGCGGACCATTTGTACGGACCCCCCGCCTTGTCTGGATCAATCATCCCACCCCAGACAGATAGCAAGGGCTTCCAATCACAGGGACCCATGCGCCAAAATCACCCGTCGCTGCGCCACTGTTAACAGTAGCATTCCCATTTCTGTCCACTCGGCTCTTCTTTTACTGCTACTAATTGGCTTTTCCACATCTGCTGTGTACCACCTGTCCTGCTCGAGGTATTTCGAAAGGTAGCAGTCCGTTGCGAAAGGTAGCAGTCACGGCACAAAATCTTTGGAATTGAGCATTTTAGTCCGTCAAGTTCGAAGTGAGCAAGTTAAGTGGAATCCGAATACCAATAATCCCTTCCATCCCTCGAGGAAGCCGCCCCACTTGCCCTTGCCCCCCGGGCCTTCGGCGTCCCGTGCCGGTGGTCGCCAAGATGAGCAATTCAGCCCAAGACTCTACAAGGGTCGTGGTTGAACACAGCTTACAGAGCTTCAGTGTGAGAGGACTCCGAGTTGTGCAGGCACGGCTTGAGATCTCGGGTGCTTTCGGGGACGAATGCAGGGCAGAGGGGTGAATAGCATTGAAGCCTTTAGCCTTTCAGTTGGAGCTGCGGTAAGATTGAACTCCGAGCCTACAGGGTTTAGGCCCGTTTAGGGCCTAGGATGCATTTAAGCATTTCATGTTTGACGGCCCCTTCTGGCATCAGGCGCATAGCGCCAACCTTGCCGATGACCTTGGTACTCGGTGGGATATTCTCGAATTCGCTTCTGCGGGTCGCAGAAGAACCCTTGGGTGTGGGGCTCAAGGGTTGCAGGGTTTAGGATTTATGGGCTTTAAGAGTTGACGGGCTTAAGGGTTTAGGCTTGAACGCTATCAGGGTTTAAGGGTTCAGTGTGATTGAAACCAGCTCTTCCTAACTCACTTGCAAGGGTTCCTTTATAGCGGCCCGTGCCAGAGCAAGATGATAAACTTGAATAAGCGCGACAGTGCAACGTCATAGTGCCTTCGTCATAGTGCCTTCGTACGCAGCTAGTAACTATGCCAACTATGCTGTACCACTGAGCGGTAATGTGACCACTGTCAAACATAGGCTCCAGGGCTGGTTGGCCCTCGTTCCTTCCGGAGAATGAAAAGATACTTCGGAGAGCAAGTCTCCCTGAGATATAACTCGGACCTGACACATCCCGCCAGGTGGACGCGTTTCGTATGCGATGAATAGAATCCCCGAAAACTCTGCCCTTGGCTGAGGTGGGCGCGATTCAGCCGTCATCCAGGGGTGGCTCATGTGCTGCCCGGGCCTGACTGAAGTAATAGCACCGTAAAGCTTTACCGAAGCCAGAACTAGCAAGTTTGCCGGAATGTTTCCAACAGGGGCCTAGGATGTCAACTTCTGGTCGAAGAGAGGTACTTCCTAGTATTACTAATCATCTAATTACTACTACTAGTACTTTCATTACTGTTACAGCTAGCAATACCCAATAATCATGATACAACTCCTTATTCTTATCGTGGGACATGGGAGGGGGTTACATAGCAGTTCGACTACCATCAGCCAAGTCTGAAGTCATCGGGGCGTGGCCGGGTGGGCTACCACAAGCACCTTGCAAAAGTTTAGGGTGCGTGAAGACTGCTTGACAGTCTTTCGACCTTCTGTGATAACCCAACATGACTGCACTGCCAGGAATCGCCAGAACCCTCATCAGCACGGTACACCACCAGAAAGATCTCGCGAATCGGAAGATTTCGCACAAATGCAGTGTGAACCGCGGCGTTGCCTTTAGCACCGCGAAGAGCAACTCGATGGGGACCTTCACACAGGTAATCTTAGGGTTTAGGGTTTAGGGCTGTGCAGACAACCGCCCTGACGCCTCGCACCTGAGCCCTGATCCCATAAAACTCCGAACTATAACAACCAAACTAAACCCTTGAATCAGGAGCCTACTACTTAAGGCTTAAGGTCCGCAAGTGGTTGCTGAAATGCTGCTACCCGGGAAAGCACGCCCTTTCTGAGAGCCTCAGGTTTCCCGGATTGGGGAAGGTCGACGGGGGTGGATGGGCGTCAGGGCATCGAGAGTGGGCGGACAGTAATTTGGCCTCCACAGAAGCTCCCTACGTCATCAGCCTGGAAGAGGCACCTACCTAGCCCGTGTCAACTGCACAACTGGGAGCAAAAACCCACGTCATGCCTCTGAGAGAAAGCGGTCTTCGTCAGATGCGCCGAGAGTTTTTGTACTCCCAAGCGTTTTTGTGCTCTCCTGGAGGGCATCAGGCGAAGCTTAGCCCTGAGTTGACATCCTGGACTCCACACCTCAAAACCCGAAGCCCTAAACTCCTGGGTTCCGGATGGGCCTCTTTGGTTTGAAGTGCCTTAGGTCTTGCCGCCCTGGTGGGTGGACGGGGCACAGGAAGCTTAACTCCGGATTCAGGGCGAAAGGAAGCGCCGTCTTCGGATGCTCCGGATTTGAAACCTGTCAGGAATTGAACTCGGCATTCAAGCAGCTCCGAGATTCTGAGTGGTTGCTTTTGCTCCAATCCTGAAGACCCACAACTTGAACCCGCTCCCATTGCCAAGGTCCTGTGGAAGCCCTCAACCATCAACCTAGACCTTCAAGACAGCTTCACGGCCTCAGCCCTCAAACAACAATGCCAGCTTTGACAGCCGTCCCCGGGGCCTCCTGGGAACGAGCCAACGACCTCAGGCGGATGCTGACTCTGCTGTGCGTGTAGAGGCCAGCGGTTAGAAGCTCACAGTGCGGGGTTGAACCCGTAATATAGAAGACTCAATCGCAATTGCCCAAATTATTCCTAGGGCTCCGCCTGATTGTAAATCCCTCTTCTAAATATTGGTGCCCCTACGGCGGACACTCTTTGCATCAGACATCCCTGTCCGGCTGCGACGCAAAAGTTTGAACGAAGCACCAACACATTCAGCCCAGAGTCAGAACACTGAGACCAAAACTGCAAACCCCTGAACCCCTGAACCCCCAATGCCAAAACCCCAAAAGCAAGCTACAAACCTGCCGTAAACACTCAGCAACAGATGAAGTAGTTGCTGCGGGGGATATTGTAGTACAACTACGGTCAGGGTTTAGGGTCTAGGGATACAGTATAACTATACATGGTTTTGCAGGTTTTGTCTTTTCCCGGGCTCCCGGCTCCATGTGCTGGACGTTGTCTTGCATCATGGAGGTGACTGAGTCTATCCGGGCCTCCAAAAGAGGCCGATGTCTTTGGAGTTGAGGGTTCAGGGACCGTTTGTGGTTCTGGGGTGTTGAAGGCTTGGGGCTTTAGGGATTTAGGGTTTGGGGCTGTGGACCGCGGGCTTTTGAGAGGGGGGGTGGAGCTTGGACCTGAGCCTCCAAAGCACGAGAACCCGAATGACATCGTAAGTCGTGAGAAACATATAAGAAACTTGTGAAACATGCGCAGCTATCGGAGACGAACCGCAGAACATTCCAACAACCCGCTTGGATGACGCTGCTTGGAGGATCCGTCGGGTGTTGTTTTGCTAAGCTGCATCGTTCTTCGGTGTTTGTGCGCGGGCCGCCCAGCCACAACCGTTCGTACAAATACAACACGGTATGAATGTGAGAATGGTGAATGCATGCATGGATGCACGGACATATGGATGGATCTGTCTACACACATCTACATAGACAGAAGTTGGCAAATCAAATAAGCGCAGATCAGTCTTGGGATATATGCATGCATACCTATAGCGCACTGGAAATATCTCCATACCCAACAGCTTTTATCTTGACGGCTCCAGGGGCAAACTGAGGTTGCAAGAACTGCCTTCCTGCCACCAAAAGCCTGAACCCCGAAACCCAGAACTCCGCAAACCCAATCTGGCACTGGCCGATCTGGAAGCCCTGAATCCCACTGAGTGTCAGTCGGTAGCATGCATGAAGGCGTTCTCCTGCAATCTCGAGGGATGGCTTTCTTGAGTTGCTTCGAAACACCACTCGAACCGACATTGGCACTGTCTGCAAGAATCCGGGCTATCCGGGCTATGATTCCGGTTGATATCTGGGAACCCTGAAACAGAACGTCACCACAAATGCAGGTCGGCAAAGATCATTGAAGTCTACTACCCTACACTTCTAAATCCTAAACTCTAAACTTCTAAACCCAAAACCCTAAGCCTGTGGCGGGCTCAGTTAGCAGGGCTGAGTCTTTGCGCTCGGGGTGGGGACCTGTCCCACGACCCAGCAGGGCCGCTAGTTCCAGGGTTTGGGAGGATTCGGATCAGTTCTGCAAGGAAGTCGGCTCCCTCAAAACGGCACAGCAGATCAGGTGGAATCGGAGACACTGGAAACTCCCACTCCATGACACTATGTGACTTCAGGCTTGGAGCTCATGACATTCACCAGCTCCTCCATGCTGTGCATGCTGCTCAAGGTCTTGAGATTTGCCTGGTGCTCGGCTTTGTCAAAGGGTTTCAGGGAGCCTTTCTTGGCCGGAGGCTTGAGAAATCGCGAGAAGATGATGCTCAAATCATCGATGAGGGGTTCGAGGAATATACCGTGGAAACTTAGGATCTTCGCCTTCGTTTTGGGTTTTAAGGGATCCAGGGTTCAGGGCCTTTGGGCCCTTGCCGTGCAAGGTCTTGACAATCTAGGCTCGAGCAATCGATGGCTGCCTTCAGCCAGAGCAGTGGCCTTCGAAGTGTCAGAACTGAACCCTCGCGTGGTGACGTGTCTGCCTCGACAGTCCTTCCGTCCGAGACCCAAGCTAGAAGACCCCAAGTGCGGAAAAGTGGTACGAAACACACTTGATTTGGCACAGGGGGCCTGAGCAATACTATCCCACCGTATATAGTCCAGCCTGAGGAACGGGGCCCTTTGTGCACGAACAGATGAAACCCCGAATCCCAAAAAGCTTAAAACCCTGAACAACTTCAAACCCAATCCCCAAAACTGCTAGACCGTTCAGCACTTAAGCCCTGAAGTAATCTCCCTAAAATTCCCTAACTCCCTAAACCCCTTCAGCACCCTTTTGTCCGATAAACCTTCAAGCTCCAGGGCCACCGCAGTCTTCGGAACCCCGAGCATCTTTCTGAGCTCCGACTGCAGCCGTGTGTTTTGGAATTCCGGGTTTAAGTGTTTAAGGCTTAATTCGTAAAGTTTAGGGTTTCGGGTTTGGGGTTTAACGTTTGGGGTTTGGGGTTTAGGGTTTGATGGGGTGAAGTGAGGTGTAATAGGGTTTAACGGAGTTTAGGGTTTAGGGCTCAGGAATGCGCGTGAACCTGTAACTATTTTGGTCGGAGTATGTTCAATAAGGCTCCAGATTAGGAAACATCCTTTCCTTGCAGGTCTTAATGCTATGATCCCTGGGAGGCGGGGTCGCCAGTTAATTATGGGCTTGCATACATCAGAAGGAATTGTCGTTAGCCTGCGATTTGTTTGCATTGTATGTTGCACGAATTATATGTTCCTCAAAGTACACGTTCCTCGAGTAATGAGAGTCAGAGGGCCAGTTGGGCAGTTGTCAAGGACACCCTTGGGTTCGGTTAGGCTTTAAGAGGGCTTCGGGGTGGGGGGGGATTCAGGAGTGAAAGGTGTTGAAGGGCATTGAAGCTGAAGGACTGTTCGAAGGGTTTCCAAATAATAGCTGCACATCAGGTGTTACTTCAGGGGAGGTAGGGGCACTCTAGCCGTATGGGCAGAGACAAGGGCTGTGGGGTTGTAGCTGGGGCAGAAGTGGTTTAGGGTTTGGGCGTCAAAGGGTCAAGGGCTGGGGTTTTGGTCTAAGGAGTTCGACCACAAGCTTGCTAACTCTACTCTCATGTCAAGATGTTGCTTTACAGGCCCCCTCCTCAGAACCATGCATCCTAGCCCCGAGCCCGATTCATCAGCTGGATAACCCTGAATCCGAACCTCTCTCCTTTGGCTTTCCTCTTGGGTTGACTTGGCTTGTGTACATAATAGTTGACATGGAACTATAACAATCATGAAACAGTGTCACTAATCTTAAATACTCAGACCTCTGCATCTCCTTTCTTCGGCCTTCAAAGATCACAAGTTTTGACAAGGCGGAGCGGTACCTCCACGTACATCAGCCGCCGCCGGAGTGTCTTGTGCTCCGAGCTGGTAGTGGCCCTGAATGGGTTTGGAGCCAAGTTTGGGGCTTAGGGTGAAGCTGAAAGTGAGGAAACATACTTGCAAAGACCAAACTGCCAGGTTTATTTATGCTTGAGAAGCAGTCGTGTGATGCCCTAAACCCTGAGGCGTTACCGTTGACCCATGCAAAAATCCTCAGCTCTCTAGATCTCCGCTTGAGTCCGAGGAGCTTCAGCATCTCCACGTCGAGAGCGCCAGCTGGCGTATCCATGCGTAGGTCAATCACCTGCCAGAACAAAGGGTGTACTCTGCTGAGGCCTCCAACAACACGAAGAATTCTACTTCCTGGCTTCATCTCAATATCCTGCAATTGGACTGAAATCTGCGACGGGAAGAAGACGAGTCTGGAACGCCCACCGGCTTGTCAGACTGTTTAAACTCTCTACGCTTGGCTTACAGTTCCGGGCTACCATCTGCTGCAAGTAAAGCTCCCCCAAAACACATGATGGATTCTTTACTCCCAGCATCTATGTGGCGCGAAACCCCCACCTGCTCCACAAACTCATCGAAAGACAAGCCGTCCTGGCGAGTTGCTGGATTTCTTGCTCATTTTCCTAAAGTAATTCTGATAAAATATGGTATGATTGGCAATCAGTTCATGGCTTCAGGTCTCGCGATCAGGGCTGAAAGCAAGCCGGGGCCGCATTGGATTCGTTCTCTTCGGCCTCCCCCTGCAAAGCGCGGCAGGTTGCTCTCTTAAGGCCTTCTAGAAGGGATTAGGGCCTTTAGGGTTCAGGGTTCATACTCCGTGTCTACCATATAAGCGTTACAAAACCTCCAATCCCGACCCGATATACCTCTAAGCCTGTAAACCTATGAACCCGCAAACCCATAAACCTTAAACCATCTTAAACCTATAAATGTAAGCCCAGATGGCTCTAAGCGCCCGGCATCTTGATCCTGCCCACCTGGGCCTGTCCTTCGTCCGAAGAGGCTCTCCTGCATCTGCCTGAGCCGCTCCTGAAGCAACAAACGCTTCGGGGAAGGAGGCCTCCCTTCTGCGTTGGGTTTTCGGATTTTGTGGTTTGAAAATAGGGTCTTTGAGGGGATCTCCGGTTGGCATTGAATATCTAGGGTTTTTGAGCTGTTGGTTGTGGGGTTCGGTGGTTGGGATCTCATAGGGCTGATTGCGGAGCTTTCCGAGGCTCTAGGGCTTCAGGGTTCTTGGGTTTCGAGGCATTAATGCCTTCGGGCCTCCAGGATGCAGGCTTTCCTGAAGGGTTAGGATTTCACGGGTTAAAGGTTTGCGTTTAGGGATCAGCGTTCCAGGAATTTGTGGTTTTTTCGTTCCGGCTTTTGATTTTGCGCCTCTGCACGAAGTCGGCATGGTGTGTCTCAGGACTCGTTGGCCCCTCCATTTGGGCAGACTCTTTGGCTTTAGGTTGGATCTGGCCTTCAGATTCAGGTGGCGGGGGGGGGGGTATTTCAGGACTAGGATCTTACAAGCTATAGAGAGAGAGAGAGAGAGAGAGAGAGAGAGAGAGAGAGAGAGAGAGCGAGAGATCTGCCGCAATCCGGAAGCATAAGCATTTTGCTTCGGGAATAAGGACGACAAGGATTGCTCTCAAGGTAAGCGCTCCGAAACCTTAAGTTCGGGTTTACCATGCCTTGGCACCGCTTTCGATTCGACAGGGGTTTGGTGAGATGAGCAGGTTTCGGGGCTCCGAAACTTCTGAGCTTTCTGCTTGTCATACCGGGTGCCTCAGGCCGGCGTAGGGGTGTGCCTTGGACTTGAACCTTTACCCTGCCTTCTGCGGATAAGTCGGACTTCGGGAGTTCACGAAAGGTATGATGAGGAATGCACGAGAATTCGGCTTAAGACAGCCAGTCAGGCATCTGCAAAGCCAGAGCCCGCACAAAATAGCCCATCGCCGGCCTCCATCATGCTCTCTTCCACTCCGAGCCTCAACTAGCATACTGCCTTAACATGGGAGTTTCCGAAAATAGGGGTACCCTACTTTGGGGTCCTTATACTAAGGACCCTTGTATTTAGGGTAAAATATTTGGGTCCCCTATTTTCCGAAACCCCCCAGGACACCAAACTGTCCTGGGTAAAGGGCCTGCTGATTCACCGTCAACTTTACGGGTTTAAAATAGGGCAAATAGGGATCATGGGGCCTTTTTTTTGTGCTTCGGCTGGTTTCAAGCAGGCAGTGAAGCTCTGACGGAAGTCGGCAGCAAGACCTCGCAAATCCCAAAGGACCCGTCTAAACTGTCATTACAAAGAACCTGCATACCAGGAAAATTGCCATATAGTCTTGGCCTTGACATTTGGGGTGGGATGGAGGACGAGTGCAACGAGGGTCTGACGCTGGACCCGAAACCCCAATACGATAGGTCCCTGTTAAACAACCCTGGAGAACAAGTAACAAGGCCATATTTACACCACAACCAGGACACAAACGACTCAATAAGCCTGAAACGGGACTTTGAGGGAATGTCAGCACTGACAGATTCAGACCCTGTATTACATATTACTTACTCAGTAAGGCCCTGATCATCCGGCTAAGGTCGGCTCTTCAGCAGCGCCGCTTGGACGCGCTTGTTAGTGGCGATCTTCGCCCACTCATCCTTGCTGCCAGTATGCAGGGGCCGGCTGTAGGGATGTCGGGTTTGGGGCTTGGCCTTGGGTTTAAGGATGTTGCGCCAGCCCTGGTTTCAAACATGCATGCGTGCTGCATGTATGTATACACATACATGCATACAGATATGTCTCAGATACGTTGATTGTGCATAGGTCCATCTGGCTGCCATTGGATTTGGCCACATGTCGAATGTTTGAAGGGCGACAATGCGAGTATGGATTGATACGCTGTGGCCTTACGTCCGTGGTATAATCGATGGAGACCCCACAGTAAGAGTTTCAGGAACAGTGCATCGCACAGTGAAAAAGCTGAAAGCCTCGAAGACTGAAACCCTAAACTCTACAACCTGAACCCTAGAGCCCGACATTTCCAAACGCAGACAACCCAAAGCCGCCCAAAGCTTGTACAGGCATCTCAACAAGTAGCAAGTAACATGTACCAAAAACCCGAAAGGGAAGCCCTAAACCCTAAACCTCCCCAATGCTCCAACAAAAACGCAAAACACCTGGCCTCAGAGATGGTCCCATCGTTGGACTCGTCCAGGGCTGTGAAAGCCTCTACGAGACAGACCTGGTCGCCCAACCGCGCAGAGCTCTTGGCTTTGAAGGGGTTTCAGAACGTTACAGAAGGGTCGTTTTAAGGCGACATGAGCGCTCTACACAGAGGATTGTAGGGTGCCAAAGGGTTCTATTGGGGCTTAGGGTGTTGTTCATGCTTTTGGGCTTTAAAGTTTAAGGTCACGGGTGTGTGGGGATTCGGGCCTTTTGGCGTTAAAGCTTATAGGATCATTCATGGAAAGCTTTTTGGGCTTTGGGTAGGGTCGTTGGAATGGATTTTGGGTTCTTAACCTTGAGAGCTATGCAGAGACTCTCTCTTTGTTCGATTGCTCGGATCGTTGTTGAGGTCGCTAGGCTCCACCACCCCCAACCGGATCGCGAACTATCACTAAACACCTGCGAAAGCTTCAAGAGGAGTACAACTTCTCCGGAGCGAAACATACATGCTTCGGGATCTGGGTTTGAAGCCTAAACCGTAAACCATTAAACCCGAATCGTACCGTTATGCACAGAACCCCAAAGCCCCGGAACCTAGAGTCAAATGACTCTCAAAACGATCCCGGAACCACCCAGTCCAAAAGCATTAAGCGATGTTTGTTGCGCACCTTCAGCTCGTTGAGTTGCCGCCTTAGAGGGGATCCCAAGTTTTAACCCTTCCTGCCATTGGATTACATTAAGTAAACACCCCTCAATTACTTTCCAACTCACGGATGGCTTCATTCATGGTGCAATGTGAAGGGCTGATTCTTGAAGCGGGCATACGGAGGGAGCTCATGGCGCCAAAAGTGTGTGATACAGGATAAGGGCTTTACAGCCAGGGTTTCATTGGGAGCCTGGGCAATTCGGGATACTTTGCTCTCTCTGAGCTACATCAATGGGGCAATGATCTACACTCAAGTAGTGTTCATTTCTCAGCTGAGACTCAGCATACATTCAATCGAGTCTTGGTCTGCCCTACACTACCCAAATCCTGAACCCCAAAACCCAAATTCCTAAATCCCAGACAGGTCACAGAAAGCTCTAAAACCATAAACCAAACCCCTAGCCCTTAGCCCTGAGGCTTGTGGGTCACGGCTTTGAAGTTTCCCCAGAAGTTTTACAGGAAACACCCTTGACACCGACTTATTTTTGGGAGCCTCAATACTTAAAACAAGCTTGGGAAACCCTGAGACCTACTTAATGCTAATGACTCATTGTAATTACCACAATCGCATGAGGCGACCTCAAGGAAGTTTTGCAGAATTCTAGAACAGGGGGTTCAATGCGAGTCTGAGGCAAGAACATCTCCGCCTCTTCTCTTGAGCTGTCCTCGATCACTTGGCACAACACACCTGGCAACAAACCAGCTGGTGATCCCACTGAAACCCGAAACCCAAGAACCTCGCCTCTAAACCCCCTAAAGCCCTATCTGTATCTATACATATGTATAGGTAGATATATACATGTATACGCACACATACATATCTATTATATACACATCCATTCATTTATCCATCCATCCGTCCATCCATCCGTCCATCCATCCATTTAAAGCAGAAGCTTTCATTACCTCATTAGTAATTGAGTTCTCAATCCCTAAACTCCAAACTTAAACCCTAAACTCTGAATCTTGAAACCCCGGCCCATAAGCCCCAAACCCTAAACCCTTAATTCCTAATCCTAACTCCGGCACAAGCGGTTGAGGGTGGGGAGGCCGGCGTCCAAGCGAAAGATGCTGCGAAAGCGCAGCAGGTGAGGTCGAGAGTCCCGTCTGTATCATCAATGTTGGACAGGCACTAATGCATACCTATACATTGTGTACCAGCATTTGCAACAACACAAGTATCGCATGCGACACTTACACGTAAATGTGTGTTTGAACATAATCATATAATATATACACATATGTGTATATATATATATATATACACATACATATGTGGTGCACACAATTACATTCATACATACACACACATACATACATACACACATACATACATATATATAGAGAGAGAGAGAGAGCGAGCGAGCTCGGGCCTGCGATGCGACACTTTGTGTATGCATGTATGTATGTAGCAGACCTTCAGCCACAGAGCTGAATGCTGGAGAGTATTGCGCGAAGGTCCGTGTCCAGAACCCACTCAAAGTGGAAAGGAGGGCCGTGACTTCAGGGTGGAGGTTCGTTTCAGGAATACGACTTAAGAGGTTTGGGGATTGAGGCCCGAAGTTAGTGCTCATGTTTTAGGGCAGAATTCGGAGAAAGAGGGGGTAGGGCTTGGCGACAACGCGTGCACGAGACACCGATCAGCATGTTGAGCAGCGTCATGCCCGAGATCACCATGAACCTTGAGGCTATGTTGCCGGAAAGGACTGCACAAGACTGCAAGCAGATCGCAGAAGAATTGCATATGTCGCTATTTCTGATGAAGCTGCTGATGATACCCTTCATTCTGACACATTTGCATATCCGTGTTTGCGAGCTATCCTTTGTTTCGGGTTTCCTGTCCGGAGCTTTACATCCTAGAGGCTTAAGCTCTAAGCTGACGCAAAACCTCGGCCCGAAGCCCCGAGGTGACTTCCGCTTCCCCGAGGGTCGAACACCATAAATGCCCACATCATGAGGAGATCTTCCTCGTGGCAATTTGTAATAATAATAGTAATAATAATTGCTGAAGTGCATGCCACCTTTGCAGCTCATGCCGCATGCTAGTTGTACATGTTCATTTTTCCGTCGCTCTTTAGGCTATGCACAGTTTGAGCCTTGAGCACGCTTTTAAACAAAACACATGTACCATAGTTGTAGGTGCCACGCCCAACGTAGCACTAACTTCAGTCTTTTGCTTGCGTGTAAAATCTCCGCCTCTGAGTGAGCCATGCAGGGTTCTGGGGAGTATGGGACAAGGGAATTAGCTACTCCACTTGTGTCTACCTCTCAACCTGCTGGTTCGCTCCAGCAGGTTATGAGCCCAACGCTTGGGCAGGGCTATGGCACCACAGCACAGCAGCCATCCCCACCTCCCGGGAGGGATGGTATGCCAAATGTACCAGGTTCAACGCCGGCACTTGTACATGGCCAAACAGGTGGAATGGGCTTTGAACCTATGGCTACGGGAGGGGCACTTGGAGGCATAGACCAGACTGGGGTTTGCGCAGACTCAGGGGGAATGCCACAAGTGTCGACCGCCACTGAAGGCGGTGATGAGGTACAGATGGTTGTGCCGATACCGGGCAATGTTGCGCCGGGCGGGAGCCCAGGGCTAGAGGCCAGCACTGGCATGTTAGGTACCGCGAGTGGTGACGCAGAGCCAGGGGGTAGAGTAGTCGCTGGTGCTTCCACGGAGGGGTTTGTGACCCCACGATCGCAACAGGGATTGCCAACCATAGCTGAGATGGTTGAGGGCTTCCCTAGTACAGGGCTCCAGCTTATGACGCGAGTTGGGGATTTTTTCCGTGTTGCGCGCACTGAGGTGGTGCAGGTACCCGCAGTGTTGCAAGGCACACACGCCACACCACCACGAACAACAGCATCACATACCCGTGATAGTCCGAGCGGTGCTTCAGGGCCCATGGCCTTGGGAGAGGGGAGTTTGGGTTCTCATACGAGCTCGCCACCACAGTTGGGAGCGCATGGTACGCCAACATCCTTTGCACCGCCTCCCGGAAGGGATGGCCCTTTGTTGAGCGCGGACATGTTGCAGCGCATGCAAGCTTTGGAACAGAGGGCTCCTTTGTTGTGCGCGGGTATGCCCGAGAGGCCCCAATCAAGAACAGATTCATCGTCTTTGCCTCAAGAAGCCATTCAAGCTGAGGTTGCAAGGCAGTTAGCCGGGTTTGATCAGCGAGCGCAGGCTCAGGACCTAGAAATACAGAGGATGCGGAGGCAACTGGAGGAGGCTGCACAAAGGGAACAAGCTCTTAGGGAACAGGTAAGGAGAGAAGTGGCAATGACCAGTAGTGCCCCAATGGCTCCAACGACACCCCTTGCTGAGGTTCCCAGGCCACCCCTTCAGGATGCGCAAGTGCGCACTCCAATAGCGTATCAGGTGCATGATGCTGCAGCGCAGGCGGTTGAGGCTTTGAGAGCGCCCGCTCAAACAGCAGCTTCAGCAACTTCAGGGCTATGGTCCAACTTTTGGTCGGGGTTGCAAGGTTCCCAAAGGTTACCTAGCAATGCAGCGCCACCCGGAAGGGTTGGGCAGCCCAGCAACGCATTACCGGGTGTGCAAGGGGATTCCACCTCTTCTGGCCCAGACCCCCATTCTCGAGCCGAAAACCCGGGTTTGGGCCAGATCAGGGCTTCGGGCTCTGGTTTCCAGCCAGCTGCGGCCACCAGTGCCCCAATTCCACAGGCCGGCACGGCTCCAGTAGGAGCAGCCAGTGTGTCGCCGGGGGGAACCCAAGGCCCTACCATGTCAGGCAACACCGTGCTTGATGCCGTTTTGTTGGGAGTGCAGCAGCTGCAAACTTTGCAAGCCCAGCACCTTAGCAGTAGCAAGAAGGAGGATGCCCCAGAAACGGTAAAAACGGGCATTACGACCTTCCCCAAATTAGCCCCACCAGATCCCGCTGGAGGTTCGTTGGAATTCCAGGATTGGTTGCAGCTCATTGCCGGCTTGATGAGT